TCACTCCAGTAGTTCCCACGCCGGCCACTGGGACTCCGCCCCCTTTTATGACGCTGCATGCTCGCGCCGACATCATGACTAACACTTATGACGTCATACCGCCGATGACTTCATGGCCCACCAAAATGTCAGAATATGAACATTTTGGGGGAATGGCTTTCAATTTAAAGAGCCAACCTATAAAAGGCTGGTTCACACATAGGACTTTGCCTTGTTGTGGTTCTTGTTTGGTTCCCAATAGCGCTTCATTCCTGATTGTTCCCTCTTGGTATCTTGACCTCGGCTATCTGACTACTCTCCATTCTCCGGTTCTTGACTAAGCTCTCGTACCTCGACTACTCTATTTTCTGGTTCCCTGACTCAGCTAGTATACTCGTTTTTGTGATTTCTATATTCCTTAAACCCGGCTTGGTCTTGACCATTCTCTTTCTGTCAAACATAAAGCCCGGCCACTCTAAGGTCCGGTATACGTTTTTCTTTTACACCCTGCATGTTCGGTGTCCTAGGAGTCCTGACACTTACACTCTTTGGTACTTAGGCGGAATGATCGCTGCCTACGGATATAATGTGGTCCACAGGTCTGCGAGCGGTCCTCCTCTATATTGATTTCCTCATAAACATGTGGGGGAAGGGGAAAATTAAATAATATGGTACAGTATGTCAGAGCAGAATAGCAGGAAATAAAACAGGGTAAGAAATGTGCACTCACATATTTTGGAGCTAAAACATTGGCTCCCCAAATGTAGCGTGGAGTGGTATGATCCCCAATATAGGATATAAGTGGTGATGGTGTCTCTTCGTATGCAGACATAGAAGAGAATGGGCCATTGAGAAAGCCGTGTGATATCTGAAATGCAGCTTTACACTATTGTGGTTTTCTTCTCTTCTATGTCTGTATACAGAGAGACACCATTCCCACTTATATCCAACATTTTGGCTCCAAAATATGTGAGTGCACATTTCTTACCCTGTTTTATTTTCTGTTACTGGGGTCTGACATACTGCACCATATTATTTAACATTTCCCCTTCCCCCGCACATGTTTATGAGGATATAGAGTAGGAGCCCTCGCAGACCTGTGGACCACATTCCATGACTAGGTGGGGATCATTCCACCAAAGTGCTAAAGTCAAAGCTGCACGTAAGCATCCAAAAAGTGTGAGTGGATTATTTTTATCATTTTTCCCCCCAATTGTATTTTACATAGTACACTATTAGTTTCTCTTTTTATCATTCCACATATCTTGAAAGTGATATATTACTCTAGGAAGGCACAAGTACACTCCTAAAACCATAATCACTACATTGGGCTGTAATGGTTATGGTGTTTGGCGTGCTCATTCAACGATAAGCAGCCTTTTCAAAGCATGTGATGCTGCAAATTACAGATAATTACAAGACATATACAAAGGTCAGAGTTTATAATTCTGTTTCCAACCAGACCGGGTAGTTGTATTTTTCTCTTATAATGCGTGCAATTTAAGTGTTAATCTCTGTATGTTCAGAATTCACAGCCTTGACTATAATGGTAATCCTGAAGTCATATGACAATATAGAGTGCTCGAAGGCCAAGGCTGTTCGTTGTCAGGTGAAAACTTCTTCTCACATTCTTAGAAGCCGATGACTTATGGTGAACCAGCACTGGTTTTCCACGAAAAAAATAAAATAAAAAAAAGACAGTTGTCTTAAGACAAGATCACAATTGGGTCACAAATACTTACTAATGGGAACCAAACCATTTCAGAACAGAGAGACACGGAGGGAAATGGCTCAAAATAGATTGAACAGTCTAGAAATAAGATTTTTTTATGCCTTTAGTTTTTTTAACGATCAAATAATACAATGTTTTCAAATAGGAGGATTTAAACTTTCTTTTTTTTTTTTTTTTTAAATAAAAAGTTTAAAGAAAAAAAACAAAACAAAAAAAATAATGTCACTTTGTTTCTTCCAATGTTAAACTAATTTACAATGGTTTAAACACTTAAGAAGACATTCTGGCCTGTCTTCCTCTCCACTGCTGCTTGCAAATAATGGTTCTAAAGCATTAATCACTATGACCCTCAGCCCATCACCATTACTTGAACAAATGTTCCCACATTTGTGAGCAGCAGAAAAAGCAGAAAATGGACTGGCGCAACGGAGACTCCAGTGTAAAAACCACTCCAGAATAGTTTGACACTTGAAGTCAAGAAAGTCATGTGACTCTGGATAAAGAGAAACAAAAGTGATTTAACTCCTAAATGGCAGAGAATTGAGCAGTGAGACTGCAGGAGCATAATTTATACACAGAAACTGCTTCATTAAGCTAAAGTTATTTTCGTGACTATAGTGTCCCTTTAAGGTTAATATAGCCAAGTTGGATAAATCCTGTAATTTTGCAATTCGGACTAACTGCCCCTATCCAACCGGACAGCGATGAACTAATTTTGCCAAGAAAAATGGTCGAAAACTACAAAACTGGTAGAAACCTTTATCAAAATGACTCACAGTTATTGTAGCCAATGGTGCTTTCTAAAAAGGAAAGATTTTGTAGTCTGTGAATAGTTCTACCAATAACAAATGTTGGTTAGACATGGCTTTACAGATGTAAGGCTGTGTTTAAAACCATTGGAATGTTGCACAACTAGTGTGACTGGCAATTCCAGTTAATGGCATTGCTTTTCTGCGGACAGTAAAATGAATGTCTAGTGCAGAAGCAATTAAACACTTAAAGGAATACAAACATGTTAAAAACACTATCTATCCCCCCGGCTCCCCTAAATATAGTAAAATCTTACCCTTATTCCAGTGTGCTGCTGGCCCTGTTTCCTTGGCTGACATCATCAGGAAAGCATTGGATTGGCTTTGATAATAAGTTCTGATGATCTCAGCCAAGGAGGCAGATAAGGCCCTGGCCAATCAACATCTCCTCATAGATATGTATTGAATCAATGCATCTCTATGAGGAAAGTTCAGTGTCTCCATGCAGAGGGAGGAGACCCTTAATGTCAGTCACACTGTGCAGCACTGCCCCAGCAAGCACCTCTAGCAGATATCCGAGGAGTGGCCAGTGGAGGTATCCCTAGGCTGTACTGTAAACACTGCATTTTCTCTGAAAAGACAGTGTTACTGCAAAAAGCCTGATGGGAATGATTCTACTCACCAGAATAAATACAATTAGCTGTAGTTGTTCTGGTGACAATAGTGTCCCTTTATTCTAGGCATAACAGAGAGAAATTCAGTGTCCAGCATGCTGCTGCATTTCTGCCAATTGGAATTAGCACATGGTGGCACAGAGTATTTTCATGACTGGTAATTAAACTTTGCCACTCAATGCAGTTGAACCTGGTTAATAATCATCTGATTCACTATTTTACAATCAGTCCACAGCACTTTGTTTCTCCATGAAACACAATGAAGACTCAAAGAGACATTCACTTGGGGTTTATTCAGTAAACTGAACTGTAGTAAATTGAAAATCCAAAAAATGGCAACATTTTTGCTAAAATTGGAAAGCTGGAACTAAAGCGTAATGAGAATTTTACTCAAATCAATAAAATAAATAAAGCCGTTGATTCAATAAATCCAATTTTGGACAATGTTGGCAATAAACTTTCCCCAATTGTTACATCCTGGCCTGACAGCCATCACCGAAATTTGCACGGAACTCAGAACCTTCACAGGGGAACCTAGCAAAAAAAATAATTTTTTTTGCTGGAAATTAGGCAGCTTAAAGGGATCCTATAGTTCCAGGAAAACAAAGTCATTTTCCTGGTACTATAGGGTTAATAGGTCCTCCTCCCCCTCCTGCAGGTCTGAAGGGGTTAAAACCTCTTCAGCCACTTACCTGTGGCTTACCACGCTCCTCCCCCGCCGTCAGCCAGCGGGGGGACGACAATGCGCGGCAAAGGCTGTGCACGCATTAGACCTCCCCATAGGAAAGCAGTATTCAATGCTTTCCTATGGGGAAAATCTGACGCTGGAGGTCCTTGGTACATCCAGCGTCAGATAACGGACCAAAAGTCAGTTTGAATTCCGGAAGCCCTCTAGTGGCTGTCTGGGTGAAGTGGTCTGTTAGACAGCCACAGAGGGCAGACTTAGAGCTGGAACCGCAATGTTTAACATTGCAGCACTAAGTGCAAAAGGGACACTGCACCCAGACCACTTTAATTAGCTGAAGTGGTCTGGGTGCCTACAGTGTCCCTTTAAATATACAGATAGCACATGTAAACAGCATGAGAATACATTAGACACATACCTGCAACTTATTGTAAAGCTATATTTAACATTCTATATTATTTCTGATGTGTCAAATTATTTTTCTAGTAGTTATTTAAGGACCCTGTAAACATACATAGGTGTATAAATATGCAAAAACTAAAACAAAAAAATTATGATTCTCACTAAACAAGTTATAATGCATTTCCTAGATCTGAGAATTTTCACAGTAGAAATGGCTATAGGTTGGAATGGCTTTAGAAATCAGAGCCAGTTATTGCCATTATAAAGAAAAGGCTTTTGAGCTCACGGTATGCTAGCCACCAATCAATAGCTTAACAGCTAGCAGTGCTCAGCCAAACAGATCAATATTTTAAAAGGGACACTCACACTCCAAGCCAGGAGTGCCCTAGCATCCCCCACCTTTGAAAGTAGTCACATTGTTTTTGAACAGTTTGCTTTTTTTTAAACCTGGATTTATGGGCACCACTGCACACATCCACAACACTCACAACGTTAGCTCTTAGCTCTCCTGAGCCATTAGCAGCCGATGCTCTTGAGCCAATAAGCTAAGCCCTGCAATGCAGAACTTGGCTCAGGAAAGCTAACGGAAGCTTCTGTTAGCAAACTGCTTTAATATTAGGGGTACCAGGAAGCTCCTGGCACCATAACCACTACATCAAGCTACTCGGAGTGTCCCTTTAACACAAAACACAGACAGTTTCTAAAGTTCTACATGGAAATAACAGATGACAGGAATGTTAATTTGCATTAAGAATAATCACATTTTAACAAAAGCATATTGGGAATAAATTTGGTTTATTATAAAGTGAACAGTGACAATTTATTTTAACATAGCAGCCTGAATATATATGGAAAAAGTATACACTCTTGTTAAGACAATTATGAATTTTTAAAGTAAAAAAAATAAAAAATTCAACTGATTATCAGGAAAGTATAAAATGAATGTTAATAGAATTATGTGCTGCTCACAAGACACAAAAGAAGAAGTAGTAAAGGAACGAAATCATTCAGTTTTAACGTTCTTTTCCCCCCAGTGTTGCTGGTGACCTAAAGGAAAGCTTCCTATTTTAATTGTGCTTAAGATATGAAATTAATATTTTTGAAAGATAAATATTGTAAAATAAGCAAGCTGTAGTATATTTACCTGTATTTAACATACTGTGCATGTATATTTCACACACATACATTATATATATATATATATATATATATATATATATATATATATATATATACACACACACACACACACACACACACACACACGTATGTGTCTAAATGGAAGGTATGCGTTTGAAAATAGAATCTGCCTTAGGCAGAGCAACTTTGATCAATTGGGCTCCTACAGCTCTCCCACAACACCACTGTGAAATATGCAAATGAGCGGTGGTGACTCTCATTCACCCAAAGTTAGCACAGTGCTGAAGAGCCCGCAAAAGGTTTAAAACAGAGCAGTAAACAGACAGGGCATTGGTTCATTTGCTCCCCCATGAATTAGTATAAAAAGATGTGTTAGAATACACAGAAGACTACAAACTACAATGTGGGTTTGAAATCTAGAAAGTAATAATGCAGTTTGTGCGTATTCATATACTTTGCATAGCACAAAGTGAGAGGGTAATTTCACTAAGCTGGCAACAGAACACTGAATTGCAAGAAATGGCCAAAACAGCTCCACTACTGTCATATCATGGCTATTTCCGTCGGATTTTTGCTATGCAGTTTTCAATTCACTGCAAGTCATCGTTTAGTGAATAATCCTATAAAATTATTAGAGTTATGGCACTTTTTGGGAATTTAATTTTTATCATTTTTAGGGCAGTATACAACTATAACGGTCAACAAAACACACAAACAAACAAGTACACACGTGTGCAAAGAATCATATGAATACATATATACACACACACACCGGTCATTTCTGCCATGCCCTTAAAGGGACATTCCAGTCTGGAGGTAACGCAGTCATTTTAACAAATTACATACACGATGCACTAAAAATATATGCAAAAACAATAAATTTTTAAAATATATACTTATGTTTGATGTTACTGCTAAAGTCTGAGCCCTTGCAGCTTCAGCAGCTTCTCATAACAGGAAGTAACACAACAAGCATGATGTTCAATTTACTCTGCAGCCTCACTGAGCTTATCCACACAGGAAGTTCTACACTTAAGCGAGAATTCAAAGTGAATTTAAAATTTTACGCCGAGGTAGCCCAACTGGAAGTATATTTCAAGTTCAGCTATTTTGATTTATTTTTTTTTACAATTAACTTTGAATTCTCATTTTAGTGTAAAACAAATCCTGTAAAACTGTGTCTGGGACTTGTATTGCAAACGTTTTTATGTTTTAAAAGTCAAGAGATGAACAACTCCCAAAAACCTAAGTTATGGCGAAATATACAGCAATATTTGTAGAACAAAAATGTGAAACATTGCAGGTAGAGTGGGGGCAAAAGTGTTTTGTTTTTTTTTAACTAAAAAGCAAACCGATAAAAAAACATAAACAAGTTAAATCTAACAAGTGTGAATACCAGGAGTTCCCCTTTAAACATTCTAGCCGTCAAGCCAACGTTAATCTCAGTCTTCATTATCACCATGGTGACATGCGTAAGGTATAAGAAGGTTGCAAACAGTATTATAAATCACAGGTATAGTTTTCTGTGCTTTTTGTAGGACTTGTAACCTCATTAAACTTTGCACATTACCTAAGGTTTGTAAAGAATCCTAGATATTGTCACTCTCTAAAGGAATATAAAATAACCGTAACATTTTCACTTTTTCATACACAATTTAACATTCTACTTCATTTGAATAGTTGGCCAAGCGTTTTATTGATCCCTATAAAAAAAATAAAATTATTTCCTTAACAGCAATTTACATTTTCACGCCATTTTCGGGCAATTTTAAACGTTGCTGCCAGTAATGGTGCAATAATCTCTCTCGGCTTCCAATAGCGATAATAGTCACACAGCCCGTCGTAAAAGTGGTTATAATTTGTATTGTTTCTTCCTGCCCTGATGTATGATTCATTAGCAAGGTCACATCGCTGGGTTTAAAAGTTCATGATCGATCAATACGCTACTTTGGATTGACAAGCCGTGAGTCTCCACCCAGCAATACGATAGTTTGAATTCTGGACCATTGCAAACACATAAAACAGAATTGGCTCTTCAGTGAAAGTGTCAATGGCAATCAGTCTCTCGTTAGTCAGGTCACAGCGGAATTCCAAAATAGAACACTGATAATTGATAGGCAAGGAATGCATGATGTTTTCAAAGTACTCAGGAGTTTACTGGGCCATTTTCTTGGGAATTGAGGGCAGGGTCTGAAGTCCAAGAAAAATCTTGTATTGAGGGTGCTGAGATTTTACCTGCAAAACAAAGCGATAAGAGAAAATGAAAAAACTATAGGATCTGGAGTGACTAGGCGTTTGCAGAGGTGCGAGAGGGCAATGAGGAAGTGGTGGGTTTGTAATAAAATCTAAATGAGCTAAACTGAGCATAGACAAGATTTGGGAGAAGTTTATTTATAGAATCAGGGTTGTTCTACGGATGTATAAATCGTTAAACTGAGCTGTGATGACTTGGTGTAGATTTCCCTGCTGAGCCAGTTAACCCATAATTTAATATGTAGTATGAATTCTTCTTTTACTTTTGTGTACAAAAAAAATGTGGCAGCGTCATCATCCCATCTCACTGCTACCACTGTGGCCCTTAACAATACAACTTGCAGATAACCGTATACTGTAGTTGGCCAAACACTAGATCTCAAACTGCTGTAGAACTTCCGGCCCCACGATGCTTTGACAGCCAAAAACACAAAACAGAGTCCATGCCAAAAAGTGGTTCACAACCACGGATCTATTCATTGCTACATCAACTTCCAGTGATCTTTTGAAACGGGATGTGATGCGAAGGCATATGACAAAGCTATAAAAATTAGATAAAGAATAGGTGTGAGATCATATGATAAGTTTCTCGAGGAACCAACTGCCCACCAATAAAAGCCAAGTGTCTGCGTGAATACTGTGCATAATACTTTTTACTGACACTTGTGACTAAGATATAAATCACAGATAAGGACAACTCGTGATATGGCTTTTTCAAGGTAGTAAGATCAGTTCATGTTCAGCTTGAGAGGTTAAAACGCAATGTGTTTAGATAGTCTGTGTATTGTGTTATCTTGCTATCTGCAATGCATTGAGTTTAACCAACAGGACAGGGTGCGAGGTGACATTCCAGACTCCGGGATGATTTAACTGGTGTCAAACCGCACTAGTTTTTCTGCTATTCTTTACATTAAGAACAATAACACTCAAATTATTACGCACGGTTAAAACAACAAGATGTCAGGCGTTTGGTCACATGGTAACACAGCACACCTTCAGTTTAAAACACTTTAAGTTCAGAGAGCAATACAAATAATACGAAACACGAACAAACCAAACCCATAAAAACAACGCAAAAAAACAACAACCAAAAACACAAAAAAGCAAAAAACAAAACAAAAAAAACCACAACACCCCCTCCACCCGCATACTCATAATTGGAAGGGGGAAAAAAATGTTTTTTTAAATCCAAACTTTCACAATTAAATAATATTGCCGGTTCTGTGTTGAACTCAATTAATGATCATTACCAAAATAGTTAGCTTTTTTGTAAGTTATTGCTTTCATTAAAAAAAGATGTGCATTGCATTCTACCATATGGATGTTCCAGATTCGCTACAATGCCTGGTATAAAATAAATATTTGTAGTAAGAGTCCAATTTCTTGCCATTACTTTCATATTCCCAAGTGCAATTCTTATTTCAGAATACTCTACCCATACAAGCTGTGCAGATAACACACAATTTTTCGTATGTATTAGAATTTTTGCACAAACAGACATGGCCTTATTATATCTGTTTACTCCTGTGTAAATGAGCCAAGTAATACCAATTCTTCACAGTGTATATATTTCTTTGTTCCTATTAATTTCTCACTGGTGCCTATATACACACACACACACACACACACACACACACACACACACACTCTACACTATCAGACCTCACCCAACAGTAAATATACATTGAACTGTACTACAAATTAGAAAAACAATATAATCTTTGTTGCCCCTACTTTCTACGTGTGGTTTGACGAGTGTTGCTATTGGAGAGCAAGCCTATACAAGCGACCACACATCATAAAATGACAACAGCCACTAGGGTTGCCTGCGAAGTCCAATGCAGACTCAATTTCGAATGTATTAAGAAACAAAAACCACAAGGCAAAGGTACAAACACATACAGAAACAATATATTCTCACTGCAAAACAAAACAATTGCAGTCTGCCAGCTAGCCTCAGAGTACGGACAGTGATAATCACATCTCAGCATCGCAGCACAAAGTGGCCCATACAGAAACATTTAACTTAAATTTCTATTTTCACCTTCAATTTTGATACAAGGCTGCCGTTTGCAGGTTTTTTTTTTTAATCAGGTGTCTTCCACGTTGTGGCTGTGCGATAGGATGACATAGACCAGGGGTGCCCAAAAGGTAGATACCCAGATCTTGTATAACTACAACTTCGATGAGGCTTTACATGCAGTTGGAATGCCTTTAGAATGGCAAAGCTTCATTGGAGTTGTATTTTTTAAACTTCTGGGGATCTACCTTTTGGGAACCCCTGAACTAGACTTTCAGCCATCACCAGTTTTAGCAGAAATGGTTTCACTCCAATTTAGTAAAAAAAAAAATAATTTCAGCAAATATTCAAACTTCACAAATCATTAAAAAGATACTATTGAAGTACAAGTGCTACTTCGATGCATGTGGAAGAGACTGAAGTACAAGTCATTACTTACAAGATCCAATCCAACCCAGTATTTCGGTGAAGGAGAAGTACAGGTGCCATGTTCCAGATCGATCACCACGTAGACAGCAGAGTGACCCATGCAATACCTTTAGGTGAGGCTTGCTGACTCAGCTCAGGTATATTGGCTGCAGGATAATTGGAAAACTAAATACAGGAATGCTAAAAGTTTATTCTACAGATGTCCACAAGCTCACAGCAAAGGTGTATTACAAAAATTCATAAACACAACTTAATTTCAGGCTTAGCCAGGACGGACTCGTATCCACCATATCAAAGTAGAACCAGATGCTGAAGTCTTGATGCCCAAGACCAAAGTCTGAAGGGATACCACTCCCAAGAAAAAGATCACACCACATGCCCTAAAAATATAAAGGGAACTCAATCAAAGTGCACTTTATATGCAGATAATGCCACGATCTTGCTTTGTTCTAGAACCATGCAGGTTATACAACTTATATAATAACCAATATTTTAAATATTACAATGTGCATTTAATATTAGCCATCTTGCATCCCACCACCATCAACGAGAAGTTTACAAAAACTTTATTTAAAGCCTGATGGCGTAGAAGCACAGGGAGTTACGCATGGGCTGCACAGGAATGACACAAGACAATAGTTAAATACGTATAAACGCACATAAAAAGTTTCACAAAAAGCCACCAGGGCAAGATCTAGAAATTCAAGCAAAAGGACAATGAGCACACAACCATTATCGTGAACAAACGCACACAAAAAAATGGACAACAAAAAGCAAAAATAGAATATTTCACCCATTGCTGTCCAACTCAATGAATTTGACATTTGGATTATCTCTCAGAACAGAATATTAAACGATAATATAAAACACAATTCTATTCCCCTTTCTCAATAAATGTATATATTCTAGAAATATAATGGAGGCATATTATCTACAAACATATTCAGACTGCCCAATCAATAGTAAAAACGACTTTGATCTTTAGAAGTTTTCTACACGTACGAGGAGGAGATAAGACAGGCGCAATGCTGGGAGACAGAAGGGTACAAGTGAAGAGTAAGGACAAGGTCATCAGATCTTGAAGAGATTGTTCAGGGTTGTCTTTCACTTGTAGGTCAAAACCACTAGGCGCAACGTTATCAGAGTTTTGGTTCTTGACACTCACTGTAACAAAGCTTTTATTTTAATCTCCATGACCAGCAAAGGACTGGGAATGGGGTTTGTAGGCATCCAGGTTCTGCCTTTAAACTACCAGTATTTTCATGAGAAATAGGTTTCCGGGCTGCTACATTACGGGACAAAAAGTCTTCCAGAGTGAAAGTTATAACCCTTTTGCAGACTAAGACTACACATTTGTGCACATCATGAAATGGAGGCTGGGAGGTGGGTGGGTGGATGGATGTGGAAGAGGAGGCAATATTGGTAAGGGGATAATTGCATCATATTATTTAAGCTTTCCCATATATTGATATAGATTGCACAGCTGAATACATACTCAATACATGGCAACATTTGTTCAATGAACTGAGGACTACCTTACGCAGAGCTCCGAACTCTCCCGCTTTTGGTGGGACAGTCCTAGTTTCAGGGTTCTGTCCCACAGTTCCGATTTAGCTCCCTGGTGTCCCACATCCACTTTGCAGCGAGCATTAAGACCATGCAGAGAACTCTCCAGTGAAACACAGTGGAGAAAGTCTCTGTTGTGGTTTTTTATGCATCTTTTAGTAGCACAAGGTAAAATATATGCTCCTAGCCACAGCTAAAAGATACGAGTCATTGCAAATCTACTATACGGTATTTGGGACAGACAGGCCAGCTACAGGAACCATCAGTGCCATGACATGGTAAAGGAAAGTGCAGCTGCACTGCCGTAACATGGCCTTTGGGAATGGACAGCACCAAACAACTGACAGCTTGAAGCTCACTACTAATTCTTAGTTTAGAAAAGAACCCTGTAAATGTTGCAGGACACCATGTAAATCTGCTGGTGTACTAGAGATTTGTAACCTTTACCTCTAAGGTTATGACATAGCAGCACGGACTACGAAAGAAAAAAGAAAAACCAAAATATGAATAAAAAATGTTTCACCTATTCATTTGCAAGAAGTAGAAGCATTAATCACAGTGATGTTTAGGAGACGAATACTTTCTTAAATGTATATTCCTGACCCTATAGTATTAAAAACACAATCTAGCCCCCCTAATTATTGTAAAATCTTACCTTTATTCCAGTCTGCCGACACTGGCTCTGCCCCTGATCTGCTTCCTTGGCTGACATCACCACAAGTGATGATCTCAGCCAATCACAATGCTTTTCCATAAGAAAGCATTGGATGGCTGAGATCGTCAATTGTGATGATCTCAGCCAAGGAGGCGGGGCAGGGTCAAATGTCGCCCTGGTCAATCAGCATCTCCTCAGAGATGCACTGAATCAATGCATCTCTATGGGGAAAGATCAGCGTCTCCATGCAGAGTGTGGAGACACTGAATGTCAGTGTCAGGAAGCACCACTAGTGGCCGACTGAGGAGCTATCTTCGCGGAGACTAATGCTTCCTTATTATATTTTTATAAAGTGTATCTGGAATTCTACATAAACATGGAGGAAAGAGGAACTTACATTATCTTGATGTTAGCAGATATCAGCCGCAGACACGATTAATAAGCAGCTGCTAATTACAGGGAAACTACCCCTCCAGCTGAACTCTTCTTCGCCAAAGTAAATTGTGGAGTGGGAAACTTGAGTCTCGCATGAATTAACATTTTTTTTTTTTTTTTATGATTTCACTATTGAAGTGAAACCAAGGTGAGCTGGATTTTATGTTCAATGCAAGACTGATATGGATCCACTGAGTTTTCAGGTAATAATAGAATAACGGGAGGACTATACTTTCCTATTGATGGGATAAAATCATATAACTAATCAGCCATTCTGAGTTCCCCCTCCATCTTAAGATTTACTGCTCATACCTACTTAAAAATATTATCTATATATGAGCACTAGTATTCATATAAAACCTTTCGCCTAAATCTGATCTCAACAATTTTTTTCCTTTAGAATATATAAATACTTTAAAAATAAGGAACTTGGCAAAATTAGCAAAAAGGTCAGGAAGAGTTGTGGCTTGGCAAGTCCAAACTTAGGCAATGAACTATAAACAGACCATATCTTAAAATAATCAGTAATCTTTGAAAAGTATCCAAATGTGATGTAATGGTACATGATAAGATACCCCTGATGAGTTACACCAATAAACGAATTTGATTTACACCCACACTCATTTCGTGTCTGAGTCAATTTTCCAGGCCTGTAGGTGTGGTGCGCTGATTGGACAGTACGGAACTGCAATCGAAATATTCCCACAGGAGAGAAATTTAGCCCTAACACCTATAAGCATGCAACCTACTGATTTAGTTTTTGAGAAATAGAATTACAAAAAATGACGGGGAAAAATTAATCAATAATAAATAACTCCTTAAAGGACCACTATAGTCACCCAGACCACTTTAGCTCAATGAAGTGGTCTGGGTGCCAGGTGCCCCAGGTTTTAACCCTTCAGATGTAAACATAGCAGTTTCAGAGAAACTGCTATGTTTACATTGCAGGGTTAATCCAGCCTCTAGTGGCTGTCTTCCTGTTAGACGCTTCTGCAACGCTGAATACGAAAATCACATTGAGCACGCAGAGCGTCCATAGGAAAGCATTGAGAAAAGCTTTCCCATGGGCGTTTTTAATGCATGCATGGCCCTGGCCGCGCATGCTCATTCGGCTCCACTCAGGAGCGGATGTCGGAGGGGGAGGAGAGGTCCCCAGCGCCAAGGGAACCTGGCGCTGGATAAAGGTAAGTGGCTGAAGGGGTTTTAACCCCTTTAGCCCAGCGGGAGGGGGTCCTGAGGGTGGAGGGACCCTAAGGATTATATAGGGTCAGGAAAACGGGTTTGTTTTCCTGACACTATAGTGATCCTTTAAGGACGGAGGCAATTGTTTTGACCAAAAAATAACCTAGAATTTAAACTATACATTTGTTCAACCATAGTTTACCTTTCATATTAAGTGCACCCACACTTATTATACATAATTTTCTTCAGGAGACATAGAACTTTAATCTCACATCAAATATCTATATATGAAACATATCTTAATATGAATAAAATCTAAACAAAACAAGACATTTTGTTATATTCCAATTTATGGATGTCATTTAAATTGTGAATGTTATAAGCTTTCAAAGCAATAAAACGAACATACAACTTTGTATGCGGTTATGTCCCCCGTGTACAAGCTTTATGGGGTTTTGGAAAGTTACAGACTCAAATATATTGTTTGCCCATTTCAGTTTTTACACATTGAAATTTGCCAGATTGGTTTGCTGGGCCTATGTTGCCTCGGAGACCGTATTGGCAGACCAAGAATGAGAATTACCTGCATCTTGGCATACCATTTACCATTTGCACAAGTAGACAAGCCAGGGTAGTCAAAATGGGGTATGTCCATTTTTTTGTAGTAGAAACTTAGTCAAAAAATCCTGGCTAAATGTAGTGTTTATATTTGTTTTTTGCATTATGCAAAACACAAACTGCACTTTCACTGATATTATTGTCAATGTTTTACTGCTCCAGCACTCATTTGTGTTCAGCGATGTGAGGGGAATTTATGAAGGAAAGGGTTTGCCACAAACACTTTTGACATCTGATTCCAGAGAGGGTAGATTGGGGGGACTCCATTAATAAAATATCGAACAAAAAGTTTCAACTTAAAATGTTGGCTGCTTTTTTTTTATACAGCACGTCAGAATTGAAAATTGCAACCTGGCTTAAAGGGACACTCCAGGCACCCAGACCACTTCTGCCCATTGGTGTGGTCTGGGTGCCAACTCCCACTACCCTTAACCCTGCAAGTGTAATTATTACCTTGTAGGATTAAGTCCTCCTCTAATGGCTGTCTATGCATGATGACCTCCAGCATCGCCAGAATCCCCATAGGAAAGCATTAAATAATACTTTTCTATGGGGAGGTCTAATGCACGAGTGCGGCCACTGCCGCACTTGCGCATTAGGTCCCCCCTGCCGGTTGTGGATAGATCTCGTGTCGATGCTCCTGCGCACTTGCAGCATATCTATCTAGATCTTACAAGTGGAGGCTGCTGGAGCTTTGATGAGTGCCACTAGGTATCCCTGCAAATCCATCAGTATGGCAGGGCATTGCCAGAGATCTAAGCATGGCTACGAAACACAAATGATGTCCCACTGACTCCACTGCTCCTGATGACAACTGGTGTGTATTTTGAATCTCTTGGTCGCGGTCTCGTCTCTCGCTGCTGTTGCTGGCAAACATGTCCTGCCATATATTATAAACACGCATAGATTTCCTAGCAGCCTGCTCAGCCTCTGATACCCCAACGGCCAGCCCCAGCCTGGAGAACACAAACCTATGTACAAACACACAGAACCAGGCTAGTGAATCCCCCCACAAACACAATTACTGAGCGATGCATCGATCTTACAGAACCGTGCATACAAACATTACAATATACCTCTTGCTATTTTCAAAATCAGAAGAATGGCTTGAGGATGCAGGCCATAACCCCCTTTACCAGCCCTCCCATGTTTATTTGCCCTCTACATCCTCATGAGACAAGGCAGGGCCATCAGGTAACAAATCATTATTAGGTAATAAATCGTCCTGCAGTTTAAGCTTGCATAAGTAGTATTGTAGTAGAAAAAACCATTTAAAAAATCACGTGTTAATATTTTTACCAAAACATTTTAAAATTAGTCTGTATTTGGGTGATTTTGCACAGGGACAGGACAGCGACATACAACAAGCACATGTCAAGCAGAGCATTTCAAAGCAAAGCATGTTAGCTGTGCCCTTAAAGGAACAGTACAAACACACAAAGAACTATAGCTTCAGATGTGCTCTACGTGTGAATAGTGTGTCCTCTCTTTTTGCATTTTACAAAAATGTCAATTTAATTAGAAATCATACATTTTATAAACTAACTTTTTTTTTTTTTTAACACGTCCCCAGCAGTCAGACAACAGGTCCTGTTACTTCCTGGTTTATTTAGCTCAGTGGAGCTAAAATCAAGAGGCAGCAATTACCCAGAGCACCTTCCTCGCAGAGATATGCTGTGATTGAACAGTCCCAGAAAGTCTGTCCTGAGGGGAGAAGGAGAGGACTTGCCGTAGCTGCAGATACTAGATCTGCAGCTATTGCAAGCCAAGATTTCATATACTCCCAAAGAAAACATTCATATTTTCTTTGTGGTTATATCTACTATTATTATTATTATTTTTTTAAAGACGTGTTCCTTTAAGGGTCAAGAAAGAGAAGCTTCTGCACAGGAAGTTTAAAAAAACTTTTGTCACACAATTTATAAACAATCTAACATTAATATTATACTAGCAGATGTGCAGGAGCAAAGAATGCACTTGATTAGATATTAGTTTTATTTGTCATATACATGTTTAAACTGAAAAAACAAACATATTAAAATGAAAAAGAATCAAAATGAATGTGGTTACAGAACAAAATACTATGTGGGAACCATTCCACAAGCATTTTGATCAAACCATTTTGGAATTGTTTAAACGAACAGGAGCCTCCAGGCAGTATGGTCTGTCGACTTACTATTGCCACTTGAGCTGGATCGGCTCACTTGCACATTAGCCGAGGGGCAGAAGTGATAGGTTGTAGGCCCTCCCCCTTCAATACTTTCCTACACCATCACATACATTTCTCTGCCAAACTCGGTAGGGCAGATTTGATTTGGTGCCCTGTCTTGCCTTCCTCGATTTGTACTTTGATGCAACTCTCCGGGAAACATCCAAAACAAATCCCCATAAACTACTGGCATTGCACTAAACCAGCTCTCTTGTGAATAAAGCCATCAGAGAGTCTAATATGTGCGCTGCAAAAATATACTACACCGATAAAGTGCTTATATCCTTGTCCCACCTGTCCCTCCCCAAAAATACCCTGATAAGTTAATAGAAGTTGAACTTACAGAACCGAACTTTGATAGGCCAGATCATAATGGAACTCAGAGCCAGGCCGGCCACGATCGCTACCCCTCCAGTAACAGCCACCATCACCCAGTGGTAGAAAGGATTACAAGCTGGGCAACATTGTTCAGTGCTGGGGAAGAGAAACAAAGATTACGGTTATAGAAATGTATGGTGAAAAGCAGATCCTTTCTGTGACCCCCCAGTTTTCCCGGAGACTCAGATTGTACAGTCAATAAATTAGTTTAAAAATTGCACAATTGCAAGTTATTAACATCCTCCACTACCTACAGGGCCGACACCGGGGGGGGACTTCTTGTCTCCCTCGACGCCGAAAAAGCCTTCGATCGTCTACACTGGGGGTTCCTTCGGGAGGTATTGGGTAGGTTTGACATCCCTAGTGGCTTTGTGGCAGCCGTCAGTGCTCTATATAGCCAACCCGCAGCACGAGTATTGAACGCGGGGTTCCTGTCGGAGCCGTTCCGACTCACAAACGGCACGAGACAGGGATGCCCTCTGTCCCCGCTGCTTTATGTGTTAGCGCTAGAGCCGTTAGCGATCAAAATTAGAGAAAACCCCACAATACACGGCCTGGAGATAGGGAAGAGGGAATACAAGGCAAACCTCTTCGCGGACGACATCCTGTTGACACTAATACAACCACATCTGTCGCTCCCAAACCTGTTGAGGGAAATAGAAATCTACGGGGAACAATCATACTACAAACTTAATGTAACCAAAACACAAGCAATGGGAATCGGGATAGCACGCAACACCATAGCAAATTTAAAAAACTCATTCCCACTAGACTGGAGAGAGGACTACCTTACCTTCTTAGGTCTGAAGATCTCAAAAGACCCCGAGAGACTCTTTCACCTAAACTATGGGAGGTTATTAGATGAATTTAATGCCACCTTAAAGAATTGGGATAGCAAGTTCATGTCCTGGGTGGGGAGATTGGCGGCGGTGAAGATGATGCTGTTGCCGAAATTCCTATACCTAACTAGAACGCTACAGATCCACATCCCCAACACATACTTGAAACGCCTACAACGATCTCTCACTGGTTTCGTGTGGGCATACAAGAAAGTTAGAGTGGCCACCCGCATACTTTCCAAACCCCTGACACAGGGAGGGCTAGGCCTACCCGAGGTGACAACATACTATAGGGCTGCATTGTTGACCACCGCACTACAGGCGCACACAGCCCAAAACCCACCACAGTGGGTGGAGATGGAATCAACGTGGGCTTGCCCCAAGGGTCTTAGCCACTTATTCTGGGTCCCTCACGAACACCGACTTATAGCCCCAGATACACCCGCCACCACAAGAACCTTACTACGTAACTGGGATACGATCAAACCCCAATTAGGTTACACAAAGAAATGGGCGCTGACAACTCCAATATACTGCATACACTTGGCAAACCCCACATTTGACCATCGCATATGGGCTGAGCGAGGGTGCACGCTAGTTAGACACCTCTATAATCAAGGGACAATGAGACAATTCCCCGACTTACAACACAGTTACGACCTGCCACAAAGAGCAATATTTTCCTATCTGCAACTAAAAGGAATACTAACGGACTCCACTGCCCTGACAACCCAGACATATGCGCAACACATAGAGAAAGCGTGCGAGTCTAGGACAATGCCCAAGAAACCGCTCTCCCTGATGTATGCAACACTAAATAACCCAACTCAACAGACACCACCACAGCTAGACAAATTCATAGAGGCATGGCATAGGGACCTAAATACAACTTTCTCAAAGGAACAATGGAATCAGGCTTTTATAGCCCATAAAGGCAGATCCAGATGCGCATCCCACCTAGAGCTAATGCGCAAGATCCAGTATAGGTGGTATTTAGTGCCAACCAGACTGGCAAACATATACCCCAACACCTCACGGCTATGCTGGAGATGTTTACAAGATGAGGGCACAATGTTCCACATTTGGTGGACCTGCGCGACCATCAGGGGATACTGGAGGACAGTTGAAGGGATGCTAAAGGGGGCACTGAACTCAGGAAACAATCTGAAACCAGAAACTGCTCTACTCTTCATATCCCTAGACCCACTCCCAAAAGCACATGCTGGCCTAACATACCACATACTGATAGCTGCCAACCTATTAATAGCCAGAGGGTGGAAACAACCAAAGCCACCGGAGAGATCTAACCTTATCCAACAGATCTCCCTAAACCTAACATATGAAACGAAGACTAGCCAGCTGATGCGCCCATCACACCACTTAAGGGACGCCAGGCGAATATGGGAGGCATACCTGAAGAAGGTTGAGGAGGGGGAGGGGCTCGAACACTAACGAGAGTAAAGGGGAAGAAAGAGGAGGGAAAAAAAAAAAAAAAGGTACCACGAATACTACCTAACCACTCAGGTGCAGAGAGGCCACAAACCCTATCACCAAGGTTCGAAAACAGGCATTGTGATAAACCCAGCTGAAGACAAATAATTCATTAGGCAAATGCGGAACAACCACCCACACTGTACATAGTTACCCAGGGGACAAGAGGCAGGAACCAAACAAAGTATGACAACCAAGGAGGAGACATGGAGTGATACGGCGCTCTTGCAGCCCGCTCCCCCATCTCTTCTCCCAATACCCGAACCCCTGTTTCCCCCATCCCCTCTTACCCAACCCCACATTCAACGCAAGGTTATGAGGGTCAGACAAGTCGGACAGGGTACATGATCATGGTCAAAAAAGTGGGGGAGGTACTCCCACAAAGTTGAATACCTGGCCTTGTTCCCGAATGTATAAAATGTATCTTGAAGCATTGTACCTCAACTGCATACCCTCCCCTTTTTCCTTTCTGTACCCCAACAGGTTCTCTGATAAAATAAAAATTGTCAAATTGAAAAAAAAAAAAAAATTGCACAATTGCAAAATTTGGCAGTTTTCCAAAATTCCTAATTTAGTGAATAAAATCCATAAGCACATATTGAGCAAAGATTTTCTACCATTATTTTTGTCATCTCGTTTACTCTAAAGCCTTGTGAATACTTACTGGCAAGGATGCATTGACTGGATGATCACCACTGCCAATCCATTGGCTACCTTGTCCGTGAAACTCATTGCCCCGTACACGAAGGCGGCACTGTGCTGTAAGATTACAGGTAAAATGCATTGTGAGTTTCTCAGACTATGGTATGACCAGCAGCACATTGCATGGTTACATTGAGAATCCAATTTATGAAACATATTAAAGGGACTATGCAAGTTGGACTTGCCACTTTCTTTTTAATGATTCTAAATATATATATTACAGATACTAAGGATTACGTGGTTTAGTTGCACAAATGCTCTGCCCGCTCCTTTCTTTAAACCAGGTAGAAAAAAAAATGTCACTTGTAGCTACATTTTAAATGACTTTTCTACAAGCCAATTTATATAGGCGTTTTCAAGGAACAAGTTGCAACACAAAATACAGTACATGACAAAGATTGAATAAAAAAATAATACATATATTACTAGGTATTTTAGAATATTTGATTAGACTACCAAAAGTCTAATTTTTTTGTAGTGTAAAGAGATAAGTGTACAATTATTAAATTGCTACAAAAAAAAATGCGGTGTCAAAATCAGCTTAAGAAGTAAGGGTTGGAGGGGTAAGGAGTTATTGAATATTAACCCTTATACAAGTTTTCAGATACAGAATATTATTCAATAAAAAAAAAAAAAAAAAAAAAAAAAAAGGAGACAAGAAGAAGCAGTTTAATATAAAAGCATGAGACCTGACGAGCTGTTCAGACATGATACAGTTAAGAATTAATGGAAGGATGGCATCAGATTCTAGAAACTGGTCCCAGTGGAATATTGTACATATTTAAAGCTGAAGTTGCACACTTTTACTCATGTATCATCTTAGCTCTTGAACGCTCTCTATAGGTAATCTTTAAACCTGCACCTTGGTTTGTTTAAACACCCATATAGTCAGACGCTAGGTGCACTGACAGTCCTTGATAGGACATTATATGGCAAACTGAGGGGTTGGCTCCCCCTAGTGGCCTTCACATATAAATATCAATACTATGGCTATATACGGCTTGTGACTTTCAATATTTTATCACACTAAAAAGCATAGATATATGGCATCTTGATACTTTCACATGGTAGTATACACACATTGGTAGTATTTAAAAAAAAAAATAATATATATATATGTGCCGAAACCGCAATACAAGCTTTTTTCCACGCTCAAAGTGCCAACATGGCAATTAAACCTGAATACTGAGGTTTAGAAAAAGAAAAAAAAAAATCGTACAGTTGTCCAAACGAATTAAAATCTTTTGTTTTAAAAGAACACAACAGAGAGTTCAATGATACAAATAATAGATAAAATTAAGCTTATATTTATTAGTTTCTCCAACAAATGCAATACATACACACACACACACACACACACAGACTGCTGAACACATTCACACACAGAATGCCGAGTACACACAGACTGCTGTATACATACACACAAACACACACACACAGACTGCTGAATACACACACACATTGCATTGAGGGGTGCAGTGTATGTGTTTGTGTATGGGTGCGGAGTGTGTGTGTGTGGAGTGCCCTGTGTGTGAAGAGTGCTGTGTGTGGGAGAGATGCTGTGGGGTGCTGTGTGTGGGGGGTGGTGGTAAAGATACATAAAAAAATAAAAAAAATAAAAAAAGATACATAAAACCTTTATCCCCCCTCACTTCTTACCTTTGATGAAGGAGGGACACACACAACCAGCCCTGGTGTTCCGGTGGTGGTAAGTATGTGTCTGGCTGCAGCTCTCCTGTCCTCCCACGCATTGTTGTGTGGAGCATTGCCATGGGAATGCGCAGCAACGCTCCACACAGCGTGTTCGCGGGAGGACAGGAGAACTGCTTTCCAGATCTTTCCCCCTACCTCCAGGTCCTCCCAACATGAAAGCATAGTAGATGCCTGACATTTTGGGCAGGCAGTTGCCTACTCTGCATTGCTGCCGACTGGCAGCGCCCCCCACCGATGTAGGCCTCAGTGTGGTACGCTCAAGCACGTGCGAGAGAACAGCACCGACGTGAGCTCCTGGCAGACGAAACGCCAGGAGCTGAAGATGATTCAAAGACATCAGCCATGAGGGACTGCTTCAAGTAAGTATTACTTCCCTTCTCCTGCACCCCACAGCCACCAAGCGGCAAAGTCATCATTGGGTGACAGAGCCATTTCAAACATTTGCATTTTCAGTAAGCACTCAGTGTGCTGTGAAATGCATCAATCAAAATGTGATCGTTCATGGTCTGTGAATTACCCCACAATATGACTGATGAAAATAACCTTTTCATTCATTTGGAAAATAAATGCTACAATTTAACATTGAAGCTGTTTTGCTAAATTATTTCGTTTGGAACTAAGCATTATTATTATTTCTTGGTTGGACCTACAGGTTACTAGAGTAGTGTCATGGGATGTTGGGTAAGATTTTATATATGTACGACTGTGGATATCATTTTTTTTCCCCTCCCCTACGCTTGGATATTTCCTCCTTCATAAACTGCACTAGCTATTCCAAGTGTCTCTGATACCCTCAACTCCTTGCTTCACCCTACTGTAACCCCTTCCCGTACTAACCTGGATGAATACTTGGAAAAAAAATCAAATAATATTCAGGGATATCATTTTTTAAAATATGTGTGGTAACAGGTTCTTGATCCAAAAAGAGATCTGACTTCCATTCCGGGGTTAAGAAGGAAGTTTTTCTAGTTTGTTACAAAATTAGAAAGCGCTTTAAACGGTTTTTTTTACCTTCTCTTGTATCAACAGCATAAACACATTCTAAATACTGGATTTGATAGATACATGCGTCTTTTCAGTCTATGTAACAATGCAAAGAAAATAATGTATGATGTATGTACACGTTTGGTGTTAGATACTGAAATTTTTCTATATTTTTTATGAGATTTCTTTTAATATATAGAACTATTAATTTCTGGTTATTATATTCAGATTATTATGTATGACCTTTCACCTATTATATACATTCTAATGGTGAGGTATAATTTCTGTCCATTTTTTGGACCTTAGATTGTAAGGTTTGCCACATAATTGATTGATACATGCAACATTTGTAAATAATATTTTTTAGAGTTTATTATTATATTTTTTTACATATTTAACTTTTTTTACATACATATGTTAAGTTTGTGGCACACTTAGGTTATATAATTCTGATTGTAAGCATCTATTGTAACGAATAGATTGACACATGTAACTGCTATCAATATAGCTTATGTGTTTCAATGTGTCTTTGTTTTCGGATGCTAATAAAGTTTCAACACGCATTAATTCAGCTACGCATGCGCATTGGTCATTTCCCGATAGTAATTGGAGGCGGGCACATCGATGTTGTGCTCCGGCAACAATCTTGACGGAAGCCGGTGTCCTTCTGCGCACACGCAATAGCTTAATTGAGCGCGAAAATTTGAAGATAAAAAGAGACTCCGGAAGAACCGAAGATATCCACAGCTCCTGAGGAAGTCCTGAACAAAGCGGGACGAAACGCGTTGAGCCTTACCTACCATCCAACCAAAGTCCAGAGACTGTAATATCACCACTACTGATCCAGTTGCAAGTATATTTCAGCCCTGGAAGTCGCGACCAAGGGCTGTTTAGTTCAACTTTTCACTTATCACTGTTTTGTTTAGTGGTTGATGCCGGGCACTTTTTCCCAGGTCTCATAATAGGACTGTACATTGTTATTACTTCTGTATTGGATGTTTATGTATTTAATTATCTATTTTTATATATTTTTTATGAATCAATTGCACTGTGATGCAAAATAAATATTATTTTTTAACTATTCATATTTTCTAAGCCTTCATAGGAGTATTTACTCCTGAGTGTCTTTAGTCTCCTACAAGACCACTATTTTCCCTAGCGCTTAGCACCCCCATTAGGTGGGATTCATTCCACCTTCTCCTCCTTTTTTACTTATGTAACAATGCAAGCACATATCCAAGCCTGTCAACAAATCGTGTCATCTTACATGAAAAATATTGCCCGTATTTACACAGAAACATAGAATGTGATGGTAGATAAGAAGCAGTCGGCCGATCTAGTCTGCCCAATTTTCTAAATACTTTCATTAGTCCCTAGCCTTATCTTATCGTTAGGATAGCCTTATGCCTATCCCACGCATGCTTAAACTCCTTTATTGTGTTAACCTCTACCACTTCAGCTGGAAGGCTATTCCATGCATCCACTACCCTCTCAGTAAAGTAATACTTCCTGATATTATTTTTAAACCTTTGTCCCTCTAATTTAAGACTATATCTCTTGTTGTGGTAGTTTTTCTTCTTTTAAATATAGTCTCCTCCTTTACGGTGTGGATTCCCTTTATGTATTTAAATGTTTCTATCATATGCCCCCTGTCTCGTCTTTCCTCCAAGCTATACATGTTAAGATCCTTTAACCTTTCCTGGTACGTTTTATCCTGTAATCCATGAACCAGTTTAGTAGCCCTTCTCTGAACTCTCTCTAAAGTATCAATTTGCCTCTTTCTTGCACTTTAACCTGGTTTCCCATTAGTTCCTAATAATTTTTTATGTGCCATTATATTCCCATATTAAAATTGCAAAGTGATGCTGTATACGTTGGGACTAGATAAATGCCAATAATAAGAATACATATTTTTTGCCATATCAATCAGTCTGGACTCGTCTTGTTTTCACATGTGATATTATCATGACCTTTTAAAAATAATCAACACTTCCAATCAGGGCCAGATTAAGAGCCCAGTGGGCCTGGAGCTGACAATTATGATGGGCCTAATTACAGAATCTTATTGACCAAAAACACTAAAACAACCATACCTCACAAGCGTCGTGTATCTGATGGAGATGGTGTTGAAGGGAAAGGATGCAGCTATAAAAAGACATACTCTATACTAATCTCTCTCTAATTTATGCTTTCATCTTTCAAGTAAATCCATACCCCCTAATAGCACTGTCCAGTGAAGCAGGAAGTCAATGGGCAAGGTAAAAGGGTGTGCCACTGGTGCGAATCACGTTACCATAACTGCCAAAAGTGCGAACATGCCCAAAAAAGGGGCATGTCTGTCCAAAGAATTGAAAGGCCAGCCTGGCATGAATGCATGCTGTCCAACTAAGGGCATACTATGCAGACAGCAGCCTGAGCTTGACATAAATGCATCAAATAATGCGCTTACTCCACACTTTCCAAGGACTGTCCCCTAGCACTCGCTGGTCCACTTGTCTCCTTACCTTCTTACTAGCAGGCAGAAGTTCCTGGTATATAGTCTGGGACAGAGTAAAGGTGTATGTAGTGAGTGTAGAAGAAAGGAGACACGCCACAGTGTTAGAGAGACCAAAGTCTGCATTACCTAAACTAATTTTGTCAGCCAGTCTGCACAAGTTTTGTTGCCATACATCCCTCTTAAGCTTCCAAACTTAAATGGGACACTATAGTCACCAGAACAACTACAGCTTATTGTATTTGTTCTGGTAAGTAGAATCATTCCCTTCAGGCTTTTTGAATCAAACACTGTCTTTTCAGAGAAATTTAACTCCACTAGCCACTCCTTAGATGGCTGCTATAGGTGCTTTCTGGGGCAGTACTGCCAAGTGTGCAGCACTGCCATTCAGTGTCTCCAACCTCTGCATGCAGACACTGAACTTTCCTCATAGAGATGCATGGATTCAATTTATCTTTATGAGGAGATACTGATTGACAAGGGCTATGTTTGATTTGTGCTGGATCTGCCCCGATCTGCCTATGTGACAGTCTCTGAAAATCTTATGGGGAAGCATTGTAATTTGCTCAGACCACCACTTCTGATGATGTCAGCTCAGAGGCAGAGCCAGCATCTGCAGACTTGAATACAAGTAAAATTTTACTATATTTAGGGAGGCAAGTGGGGATCAGTTGGGCTAGATGGTGGTTTTTACATAATAGGGTCAGAAATACATGATTGTGTTCCTGACCCTATAGTGTTCCTTTACGCAAGAGTATGTGAAGGATAGTTAGGGTTGCCACCTTTCTTGGGGAAAAAAATACCAGCCTTAAATCATTTGTATAATTAATTAGTTATGCGTTATCACAAGGAGTGACATAAGAGAAAATTCTGTAAAATCACCAACAAACTACTCAGAGCTTAATTCTGCTGTATAGATTAATTGCTCCCAGTGTCTCCCTGTCTCCCAGTGTCTCAGTATCGCAAGTCACCCAGTGTCCCCATATATCACAGTGTCCCTATGTATCACAGTGTATCACAGTGTCAGTGTCCCCATGTCTCAGTGTGTCCCCATGTCACTAGGATACTAGGGGACACAGTGAGACATGGGTACACAGAGACCCGGGGACACTGAGAAACATGGGGGCACTTGTGAATACAGACATGGGGACACTGGGAGACATTGAGACACAGACATTTGGGGACACTGGGAGAAACGGGGACACAGACACTACGGACACAGAGACATGGGGACACAGACACTGGGATACATGGGGACACAAACATTTGGGGACACTAAGACACTAGGGACATTGAGAGACATGGGAACACAGACACTGGGAGACTAGGGGACACTTGTGGACATAGACATGGGGACACATATTTGGGGACACAGACAAACATTTGGGGACACTAAAACACTAGGGACATTGAGAGACATGGGAACACAGACACTGGGAGACTAAGGGACACTTGTGGATATAGACATGGGGACACAGATATTTGGGGACACAGAGACATGGGGACAGACACTGGGAGACTTGGGGACACTGGGAGACATGGGGACACAGACACTACGGACACAGAGACATGGGGACACAGACACTGGGATACATGGGGACACAAACATTTGGGGACACTAAGACACTAGGGACATTGAGAGACATGGGAACACAGACACTGGGAGACTAGGGGACACTTGTGGACATAGACATGGGGACACATTTGGGGACACAGAGACATGGGGACACAGAGACAAACATTTGGGGACACTAAAACACTAGGGACATTGAGAGACATGGGAACACAGACACTGGGAGACTAAGGGACACTTGTGGATATAGACATGGGGACACAGAGACATGGGGACAGACACTGGGAGACTTGGGGACACTGGGAGACATGGGGACTCTGAGTCACTAGGGACACAGAGACATGGGGACACAGGCACTGGGAGACTAGGTGAAACTTGGAGTTTGTGGACACTGAGCCACTAGGGACACTGGCTGGGGGACATAGGAGACATGGGGACACTGTGTCCCTAGTATCTCCATGTCTCAGTGTCTCCCAATGTCCCTATGTCTCACAGCGTCCCCATGTTTTCCAGTGACCACAAGTATCTCAGTATCTCCAGGTCTCCCAGTATCTGTGTCCCCATGTGTTCCCTAGTGTCCCCAAAATCACAGTGAGAGCACGCAAGCGTCCATAGGAAAGCATTTTGAATGCTTTCCTATGTGACCGGCTGAATGCGCGCGCAGCTCTTGCCGCGCGTGTGCATTCAGCCGACGGGGCGGAACGGAGGAGGAGAGAAGGAGGAGAGCTCCCCGCCCAGCGCTGGAAAAAGGTAAGTTTTAACCCCTTTCCCCCTTCCAGAGCCGGGCGGGAGGGGGTCCCTGAGGGTGGGGGCACCCTCAGGGCACTATAGTGCCAGGAAAACAAGTATGTTTTCCTGGCACTATAGTGGTCCTTTAATTGTACAATGTTCATTAGTGGTTTTCAAAATTATATTATGTTTTATCAAAATTTTTTATCAATAAAAACTATTTGACAAAAAATTTAAAATTCCCTGCAATGCTTAGTGAATAAGCTGGCCAGTCACAAACTATGAAACAGTGCCCCCTAGTGGAAACATCAAAAGGTTCATGATAACAATACCTATAATCAGACTTCAGTGTCAATGCACAAAATCAAATAACGTTTTTAACGGGCTAAACTGGATTTCTATACAGGACCAACATGTAGCAAGGAGAGGATGGCAGATCCACCGAAGACTTTAAGAGTTCAGTCTCCTAGTATCAAAAGTACTTCACATGTGCTAAGCCATCTAAATGGTCTTAAACAAGAAGTGTCGATTGAAATGCTCAAAGTGCTACAGAGATGTATGGCAATTGCTTGTTTTCATATATGGTATTTCAGGGGAAGGTGCTCCATAGGGTGCTAAATACCAGACACATTACGTACTAGATACTTTATAGTGGATATATCAATACTTAGTAGATCAACAAGCTAGCAAAGGGGTGATTTTTAAAGCTGATCCATCCCGATATATAGTTTAATAAAATAATACAGGAGTTAAGAGAATAAATAGGAATCTATATTTCTACTATTCCGAAAATGACAAAAGCAGGTCATTGTTTCAAGTCTGCATACTGCACACAATGATGGATAGAACTTCAGACACAAATGTCTACATACCGACTGAGACCCAATGAGATCTGCTGTCATGGAGAGGGAGGTGACCAAGATTGTGGCAGATCCTGAGCCCAAAATGACAGCAGCACCATAGACTGCAACTCCAAGTTTTGGATCTAGTGCAACCCAGGCTGAGAAGGCAGCAATGAATAGAAGACCCATGAAGTAGGTAAGCTGAAAAAATAAATAAAAACAAATCACAAGATAAAGTAAAAATTACTTTATGCCACATAGAACACCCATCCCCAAATACAAAAACACAGAGGCTAATTCAGCACTTACATTGCGACCAATCCATTTATTGATGGGTTTCATAAGGAATGATGAGACAAATCCACTTACATACATGACCAGAGGAATGGTAGCAATATAATTCTAGAGAAACAAGACAATCAAATTTACTAAACATAACAAACAGACATTACACAACACAAAATAGAAAAAGTGAGCAAAAAGTTTGTAGTGGAAGAGCCTGATCTCAATGCAGAGAAGTGGTATTTAACCTGAGCTCTGCGCAAACAGACGACTTTAAAGCCTTTTGATGTTTATGTGGCGGGCTACCTGGGCTTTATACATACCTTATTCCTCAGCGATGTGTGCAGAGTTATTGCAACACAGAATTTCTTAAAACACTTTTGGGTGTCAGGTAGTTCTTTGGCCTAGGTGGTGGCGCAGGCAAGGCAGTCGATCTCTCCGTCCGTAGTTCCTCTGGAGCCTGAAACTGCTGAGGATCTTCTGCTATTCCACCCCAAGCCAATGAGTGTAATCCCAGCACAATGTCCGATACAGGACCATAATAACTGGTTGAGACACCCAGGCTGTCCCTTAATATCGCAGTGGAGATGACCAGATTCCCTGGGAACAAGGTAAGCTGTCAAACCGTTCTAAAATGACTTGACAAATTACTCTGTGAGGGCCTAAGGGCACTTCTGGCATCATAACTACTTTAACCCCTTAAGGACACATGACATGTGTGACATGTCAAGATTCCCTTTTATTCCAGAAGCTTGGTCCTTAAGGGGTTAAGGGGCTGTAGTGGTTCCAGTATTTGAAGTGCTTCTTAAGAAAGGGTCAAATTTTGGTTTACACCAGGTAGAAACAGGTCCATTGAAAACACGACACATACAATGAAGATATAGTGATCTGCTGAATGTTTCATAGAACGAACACAAGGGGTTCCATCCTTCCTAAAATGGCCAACGCAATTACCTTTTCAGACTCAGATGGTCTGTTAACCACTATTCTGGCCAACCCAGATAGGTTATTTGTGGATTTTTGGTCCAAGCTTCACCAGCTAATGCAGACTTCTATACTTGCAAAGCAGACCAAAACTTTACTTCCTTCTTTAAGTGTCTCGTGTCCAAGGGATGGTTATGTTTGTGAGAAAGCACATGCTGGAGCTCCTCCACAATTCTGGCAACGTCGAACGGTGTATCCCCAGTTACGGCAGAGAATCCGGCTCTCATATAATTTATTACCTTTGGGTCACGAGGCCACGGCTTCTGATCACTCTGGCAGGCGGTTGCAGTCCCCATGGCACATGGGTCCCTGTCGGCATCTAACGGTCACCAAGCACCTGGGCCTCAAGTCTTCTAGATGCCTTTGGGAACTGTGCTTGGCGCCCAAACTTGAATCGGCTGATTATGGCCTTGTGAGCAGAGCCTTCTAAGCATTCTACTTCTCGACCCAATCCAATTTGGGTCACCTCAATGTCATTTTATAATTCTGTTACGTTGTTTGATTAGCTTTGTTCAGCATACATCTCCGGTTACTGCCATATTAATATACTAACTTAATATATTACCACATGTCTGTCTAACTCCCTCTCAGAGGGCAAGGTAATCATAACATTAGGAGTTTATGTGTACTTCACTCTTGTATCTGGGAGCATTTAAATAATAAAATGAGGTATTTTTCACTGTCTACAGTTGTAGTTAGAAGAAAAAAAAAAAACCAGCAAGCAGAATGTGGAAACTATCTTTCAACCGATGAGATGGACAGTGGGATAGAGGAGGAAGAAAAGACAAAAATCAGAGTGTATGAAGATTTTGTGAAGATTCTTACCTTGGGTAGATATAGGGAATAGGTCAAGTAAACAGCTATATACGTCTGGGATAGGTTCACTATGAGCCGCGTACACATGTACAGAAGAGCCATCTGCAGGAAATGAACAACGGTGAGAAAAACCCCAGTTAAAAACTGAAACCTCCCCCAAACACTTGCATGTTATCTTCTTACCTGATAGAATGACGGTTCCAAAAGCCACCTGTTCCATCGCACTAATGATTTTGCTGGACTGGAAAATTTGGGTTGTTCGGGAAGTGGATCAGCTTCTGTATCATCTGATTCGACAAGATATTGAAAACTGTGCGGCCTTTCCTTCGTTCCAAGGTGGAAAACCAGCGAGAACAAAGCACCCAAACCCACCATGATTAGGGCTAAAGCCTGCAAAAGACAATTTTATTTTTATTTGTTTTTAAATGAGTGAAATGGTGCATATGCAGAAATGTATTCAGAGCTCTAAACAATTCTTTTACATCACAACGTTACCAATGGTCCAGTGAAAGTCTTCTATATATATATATATATATATATATATATATATATATATATATATATATATATATATATATATATATATATATATATCTTAAACACAAACTATCAGTTGGTCAGTTTCCACTGTTGATTTCGGTAGTCGTCTTCACTGCTATTTGTATATAAAATCCTGCTACCAAGTCTGAGAATCCTTGCGTGGCTTATTATATACAACAACAGTTTCATTCACGCCTTTTAACAGGTTTGGGGGCTTTGCTCAATGTTGCCATTGAAGACAGAGGACTGTAATTGGCTGAAAATGCTATGCTACTTCCTGGTCTGGGTAGAGCCCACTTCAGAATCTGCATTGATGAGGCAGATTATTTTTGCGCATATTAATGTATTATCAATATCAGGAGGATTCAATGCCAACCAACCTCTAAAAAAAATTAAAAATTATTAACGAGGCAGTATGCAGAATCCCTAGAAGTTCAGGGGTGTGTTTCCCCTCCTCCTGTCCGAAGGAAGTAAAGCGGTTTCACTCAGCTTTTTTCCATGCCTCAGTCAATTTCAGCCAATCCAATGTTTTCTTACAGAAAAGCATTCGGCAGCGAGTGCGCCTTGTGCAGAACACCGCCACGCATGCGCCAATCAGATAGCAAAGTGAAACTCTATTTCATAGAGACTATTTGGACAGAAGTGCTTGGAGGAAATGGCTCTTATGTCTGTCAGAGTGAGGTGTTTAAACCCTACAATGTAAACATTGCTGTCTTTGCAAAATGTCAATGTTTTACATTGCAGGGTTATGCTGACCGGAACGTGGCACCCACATCATTTTATTTAACTAAAGCATGACCATAGTGCTTACTTCATGGGAGTATACTGCTGAAATGTTCTATTAAAGAAACTAAATTATTTATGCAGTGGGAATTAAAGATAAAGGGATGCTTTTTTCTCTCCCTGTGTTTCTTAGTAGTTTAGCCAGTACAGACATATTTCTGGACTAATGCATGGTTTTTACAAAAATTACAAACTTTGGCGTAAAGAAACATTTCAAAAAGCACTTAAGAAAGTGACCTGTAGTGCCTGGTACCCTCCCACAGTAATAGGTCAGAATCAGAATGGTTTGAAAACTTACCCGTTTCCAGGGGTGCAAGAGCCACATCCAGTCTTCGTCTGCAGGACACGTCAGATACTTTTACTAAGCTATGAAGGCCCGATACAGGACCATAATAATTGGTTGAGAGTTGCCCTGCATATCGCAATGGAGATAACGAGATTCTCCAGGAACCAGGTAAATTATCAAACCATTCTAAAATGACTTGACAAATCACTTTGTGAGGGCACTTCTGGCACCATAACCACTTTAGTGGACTGTAGTAGTTACAATATTTGAACTATTCCCTAAGGCAGGGTCAAATCCCTGTTTACACCATGGAGACCCAGGTATGAATTCATTGAAAACACCACAGTGGAGTGGATCATGTTAAGCTCCTGACAAAGTCTCCCTGCATGCCATACTGCCGATTGTGATCACCGCTGGGTTTTGACAGCTGCCCAGCACCAATCACAGTGTGCTTGGTATGGAGAGCATGTTGGTACTTCCGCATTACAGGGAGGCCTGTAGATGTCAGTCACAGACCACTCTATACAACTTTAGCTAGGAAATCCTGATAGCATTACTGATATGAACAGAAATAATTTCTTAGAGTAAGGGGTATGGCAGGCCTCCCAACCATCTTGATTTTGGCAGCACAGCCCTGATATTGGAGTCCAGCCCCGCTATCCTGAGAGTTCCATGGTGTCTCACCTAGTGCCCCTCGAACAATTTATTAGCAAGTACTTAATAGGCTGTGTCACCCTTAGAGTAAAATAGCAAACTGCAGCCTTAAATTTCAAATAAATAAATAAATAAAAAATTCAAGGGACACTCGTCACCAAAACTACATCTTATTGTATTTGTTCTGTTGAGTAGAATCATTCCCTTTAGGCTTTTTGCAGCAAACACCCTTTTTAAAGAAAAGGCAGTGTTTACATTACAGCCTAAGGACACCTCTGCTTCCTTGACATGACATGCTGAGCCAACCCAATGCTTTCCTATTGGAAAGCATTGTGATTGGCTCAAATCACCTCTTCTGATGATGTCAGACAAGCAGGCAGATCGGGTGTAGATCCAGCAGCAGACTGATATAAAAGTAAAATTTGACTATATTTAGGGAAGCAGTAGGGATCAGGGGGCTAGGTGGTGGTGTAACAATACAGTACATGTTTGTGCTCCTGACCCTATAGTGTTCCTTAAAATTAGTAATTACAATATATTTAACCCAGGTGTTATAAGAGTTTCCAAAGAAATCAACTCCACATACAGTTGCTTGTGGTGTTCTATTTGTCATTCTTTTCATTACACCTGTATACTTAAAGGGATACTATATGCACCAAAACAACTTTAGTGAAGTTACTTTGCTGTATAGATTTTGCTCCTGTAGTCTCATTGCTCAATTCTCTGCCATTTAGGAGTTAAAAATCACTTTTTATACACCATAGTCACACCTCTCTGCATGTGACTTACACAGCCTTCCTAAACACTTTATGTGAAGAAATCTAAAGTTTACACTTTCTTTATTGCACATACTGTTTAATTAGAATTGTTTATCGCCTGCTCTGGAGAAATGGCAGGAGCCTCATCAATTAAAGTGAAAACCTTCTATTGTAAATTTAAGATGTGATTGAAAATGAAACCATTTTTTGTTTACATGATGTGAGATGTGGCTAGGGCTGCTTAAACAGAAACAAAAGTGATTTAACTCCTAAAGGGCAGTGAATCTGTACGGACTTGATCTATATACTAATACCGCTTTATTAAGCTTAAGTTGTTTTGATGTCTATAGTATCCCTTTAATAATGATAATATTATAGTCAGAGAAAAGGCATTGCTTACATTGGGCACTGGAGGTGCTTCCTGGGGCAGTGCTGCAGAGTGAGCAGCACTGTCATTCAGTGTCGTGTCTTCACGCTCTGCATGGAGATGCTGGCATTTTCTCATAGAGATGCATTGATTTAATGCATCTCTGTGAGGAGATTCTGATTGGCCAAAACGGTGCTTGGCCCTGTCCCCATCGCGCTTCCTTGCCGATTTCAACCAATCTAACGATTTCTCTATGGAAAAGCATTGGATTGGCTAAAAATAGTAAATTCTGAGGAGGAGGATTGGGGGCGGGGACAGCGCCAGCGGACCTACGCGGCATTGAAAATAAGTTATATTTTAACCCCTTCTAGGGGAGTCAAGTGGGGGCAAGCCACCTAAATGGTGGTTTTAACACCATGAGGTCCGGAATACAGGTTTGTGTTCCTGACCCTATATTGTTCCTTTAGGATAAGAGGGACAGATGGATCTGGGCTAAAAATAGGGACAGTCCTTTCTAAATTTTGACAGTTGGGTGGTGTGCAATATGCACAGTGGATTTTTAACATCCGTGACGCAGTGAATATATAAAGTACGTCTGGTGTGTGCCTGTATCTGTGTACAGCAGTATGAAAGATTTGCCAAGGCAGAACAGGTGCTATTATGTGTACAAAGTGCTAAAAAGGTTAAAAGGATCACTAGAGGGTCAGGAACACAAACGTGTATTCCTGACCCTATAGTGCTAAACCCACAATTTAGGTGGCTTGCCCCCCCTTAGCCCCCCTATAAAAGTTTAAAACTCACCTTATTTCCAGCTCTCGATGGGTCTGCTGGCACTGGCTCCGCCCCCTTTGTGACATCATCAAAATGGCAGATATTTAGCCAGTCCAATGCTTTCCCACAGGGAAAGCATTGGCTTGGCTAAAATCAGCACAGCGGGGCCAATCAGGACCTCCTCATAGACATGCATTTAATCAATGCTTCTCTATGAGGAAAATTCAGCATCTCCATGCAGAGCGTGGAGATGCTGCACAGCAGGGCTGCTTACTGTGCAGCACTGAGCCAGGAAGCACCTCAAGTGGCCATCTGAGGAGTGGTCACTTGGAGGTGTCCCTAGGGGCAATGTAAACACTGCCTTTTCTCTGAACATACAGTGTTTACATGAAAATGCCTGAAGACAATGATTATACTCACCAGAATAACTACATTAAGCTGTAGTTCTTCTGGTGACTATAGTGTCCCTTTAAGAGACATTCTATTGGTTTACATTTCTTTAGTAATTGTCCCATAACAGCACTTGTTTTTGCCTTGAAACTCCCCCTATATTTTAAAGTTTACTTTACAACATTAGGGAGTTTTTTACCACTTTCTGATCTGACCACAAGGTTAACTGCAGTTATTTTTAAAAATACCACAAGGAGGAACCTGCACACTGAAACAAACCGTGAAAGGGGATCAAAAATGAATGCAAAAGAATACAAATAAATAAAAAAGAAGAAAAAGAAAAAGAAAAGGGGAAACAAAACAACTCACAATTTCCAGTGAAAAGGATCAACAGAATGACAGACAAATGAAAAAAAATGCATTAAAAAAAGTTCATAATTAGAAAAAAAAAAAAAAGTAACATAAGAGGCAAATGTGAGCTCGGCCGAATAATATGTTTACAGTTGCAAGATCATCGTACGTTTATAGTCTCTTTCTGCTAAATACATTATTTCTCCTACAAAGAGTAATTTGTGTTTTGACGATCCCACCCAATACTCACTCTAAAAACAGTAATGTCCTGTGGCCCCAGGTGTTCTGAGTCCTCGGGATTGGTCTGGCCCACCTGAAAATGTAGCAGTAACCAGGCTACTGCATATACTGCAATATTTGCCATGACTGTAAAAGCATATCTGTAAAACACAAATTTAAATCATGATAGCATTGCTAAAATCAGTTTTTTTGCCAGCAAAATAAAAACATATTTGGTATTGTTCCAGGGTTTAAAAGGGATACTAGAGGCACCAAAACAGTTTGGGTGTATTGATCATGCCCCTGCAATCTCACTGCTCAATTCTCTGCCATTTAGTAGTTAAAAATCGCTTTTGTTTCGGTTTATGCAGCTCTAGCCACACCTCCCATGACTGTAATTCACACAGCTTGCATGAAAAAAAATTGTTTCATTTTCAATCAGATGTCAACTTGCTTTAGAAGTTATAACTTGCTCTGTATATTAAAATTGAATTACACACAGGAGATTCCTGCAGGCTCTACAAGGCTATTAACAGAGCAGGAGAAGAGAAGTTCTGAATTAAACAGACTGTGCAATAAAGGAAGGCTGTGCAAGTGAAATGCAAGTATGTGTTTCAAGGACTGTATAAACAAAAGTGATTTAACTCCTAAATGGAAGGGAATTGAACAGTGAGACTGGACGGGCACGATCTACACAAAAAACGCTTAATTAATCTGAAGTTGTTTTGGTGCCCATAGTATCCCATTAAGTGTAAATAACAGTAATTAGCTATATGGAAAAAGTCACAATGTGCAAGGAGAACCTGACAGCATATTCTCGTTTGGTCTCCAATGATGTGGTTTTATTAAGGACAAGCAGCGTTATCCATTAAAGTGAGAATTCAAAATGAATTTGGAGGAAATTTCAAATTTAAGGCCAGAGTAGCTGAACTGGAAACATAGCTAACTTTGAGAAATGGTCAGTTTGGTTATTTTGGCCTTAAACTTCAAATTCACTTTAGCGAACAACCCTGTAAGTCTAGTTCCCATGGCTAGCTCAGAAAGATATCCAGTCTCATGGCTATCCTAAACGAGTCCACAAGGCCCATCCCTAGATTTGTTACATGCCTACAATGTGGAATGTTGATGTGACTTGAGAACCATTGCTCTAGAGACACCATGGCAATTGTGATGAGTATTTTGATAAGGATGGACTTCAAACCAAGATTTGCATTAGCAGATTTGTGCCAGCAGTTTCAGACTTCTATAGATTAAGTGTCCACAAATGCTGGTTCTCTCACCAACTCAACACTAAAAAATTTATTTAAAAAACAAAAAACAAAAAACAGGATAGCAATTTAGGAAGAATCAACCAAACTAGATCCTACAAATCAGCACTTTGTCAAAAAGTTATAGGTTAACTTGTCATAATCTGTGAGCAACCGGTCAATATAATTTTTGCATCACTTTATTTCGACGGGTTCAAGTCAGAGTGGGTCTTTTACCACCCCAGATAAAAGGTACCACATAGTTTTTGTAGTGCTTTACAGTAGTGGTGTGTCATCCCAAGGGGTATCATTCTAAAAACGTAGAGAAATTGTGAACTCTAGTGATGGTGTCTCTTGCGGTGTCAGGGGGAAGGTGTTTAGGCTTGGGGAGCCGGTGCGTTCTGTCTAGAATCAAGTCAAATCCAGACAAGGAGGGGATTAAGGCCTTGAACAGGTCTTTGACATACCTGGGTAGGTCTTGTTGCATAATAGTTTCTGTTATGCCCCTTATGCGGATGTTGTTTCTTCTACTCCTGTCTTCTTGATCGGCCACCTTTTCTTCCAGTGCTTTAATTTTGTTTTCTAGGGATGAGTAAGCATCTGCCATGGAGTTGTGTGCTTCCACTAATTCCTCTGTCCTGTATTCCAGACGGGTAGTGCATTCCCCCATGCTGTGAATGTCTGCTTTAATATCTGCAGTCATTTGCATGAGGTCTGCTTTAAAAGAGGCTTGCAGCTCATGCATTATTAGACTGATGGAGGCGTTTGTTGCTGGGCTGTTCTGTTCTTGCTGGCTGTCTCCTGCCTCAGAGCTATGGGTAGGTGAGTGCTGTCCGTCTGTGCCATTTTTATTTTTCCGCTCCGCGGTTTGTTGCTTCTCTAAGTGAGAGGTTAGCGTTGTTTTAATTTTTTAGTAGCCATGGGGTACAGGGGTATTTACCCTTCGGTGTGCAAGGTTTCTGCGATGTTTGTAGGTTTTGTCACGCTGTTAAAGCAGTTTTAGTGCCGCAGTCAGGGAGAGCTACGGTTCTGCACGTCTGCTCACATGTGCGGCTAGGACACGAAAGTCGAGTATTACTTGATTTCATCACTCTTTGCAAGCCGCTCTGCCTTCCAAGCTGAAATCATCAAAAGTTGTAAGCATTGGAAGGCTAGTGTGCATGCGCTTAAAATTGGCATGCCAATCGACTCTCTAGGATCAGAATTTAATTGAGAACAGTCAGACTCCGTTCTAATAGTCTCTAGTGGATGTCAGGAAAGCAGCCACTAGAGGAGTGTTTAACCGTGCAACGGAAACGTTACAGATGTTACAAACAATACTTTAGATTGCAGGGTTAAAATTAAAGGGCCACTGCAGTGAAGTGATCTAGGTGCCTCTAGTGGTCCGTGAAAACAATTGTAACAAAGCCGCAACTTAAAAAGATTAAAAGATCTTAATACACAAAATATACACCCATACATATATTGGCCTCCTTTTCTACAAATTCACCTAGTATATAGTGCTTATAACGCAGCTTCTTCCTAACTAGAACCCTTTCTATTACCTTATTCTCAGCATAAACATACATAGTGTATGCTTACATTCAGTATCAGACTCAAAATGTACACACATTCCTACCCAGAATCCATAGTTGCAGTAAAAGAGTTGCATGCTGGAAAACAGATATTTTGCCTGCAACAAGGACTTTGTTAGACATGCTTTAAAAGGGACACTTTGGACCCTTAAAGTACTTCAGCTTGCTCAAAGAGACAGAGAGACAGAGAGACAGAGTTTTTCATTTGATAAAAAGTGCAGATTTCAGTAAAAAAAAAAAAAAGTGGCACATTTAAAATTAACCTTGTTTACACCCCCTTGGCAGTCAATCACACAACTGGTCTTGTAACTTCCTGGTTTATTTAACTCAGTGGAGCTAAACTCAATTGCACAGAGAACCTGCCTTGTAGAGACTTCTCTTTGAGCTGCATTTTAAAATCTGTGATTGGACAGCCACACAAAGTCTGGGAGGGATTAGACGGGGAGGAATTTGCAAAGGCAGCAGACAAGAGACCTGCAACTTTTAAAGCCGTTTTTAGATAGATCCCCAATGAAGGAAAAAAAAAAAAAAAATGCATTAATTTATTTTTCCATTTATGGTATATCTACTAAACCGTGATTTTTTTAAGTTTTATTTTTGATTTATGCAGTGGTGTACAACCATGGTGTATTAATTAAAAGTACACAGGGCTAGTCTTTGCACTCGGAAATGATGCCAACATATTTATTTCTTTAAATTACAGTGTTCCTTAAATCATTTCATCTTCCAGCACCAGGACAGTCTGTTCCCCTCACATCTGATCTACTACTTGAGAGGCAATGGCCACACACCAACAATACTTCTAAAACAGAAGCATTGAAACCAATTCTTCCTTATGAGAAATCGCTCACTTCCACTGTGAACTAAGACATCAAACAGGGTAATTCAGGAGACCCTTAGGAGGTGTTTGTACAGAAAATATTATAAATCGGTACTATTATCAAATTAGCCTGAAGGGACATGCAGCTTCACCTTATAAAATAATGAATCAAGTTCATTATTACTTTGACACACAATGGTGTCTGAGGAGCAAAAAAATATAAATAAACACACAGTACAGAAACCTGTCTAATGAACATCTACAATTTGTACTACCTTAGCAAGCAATAACGCAATCCTTTAAAGTCGCCATTTTATGGGTATTCTGCCGCCCTAGATACTATGAATAAATAAATGGTATTGTATTGCGATTTCTGGGATTCATTTTTATACCAGAGATTTTTGTGTGTGTTTTTTTTAGAATTATTCTCTAACGATACTGCTGTGGTTACAACAGAAAGCATACTTCCTCTTTCCAGAGTAAAGTTGCACATTGTATTGTCACAAGTAACACATATAGTTACTGTTTAATGCAACGTTTAAATTTCAAACCAACAATTTGATTTTTAAAATATAGAACAGCGGGGGGCAGGGCCTGACTGTCATGGAGGAGAGACGTGTTTTGCAGGAGCTCCTCTCCTAGGCAGGCCTGAACCAAAAGGTTTTCACCCACATTCAGCCTCAGTGGGAACGATTTCAGAGAATTATCTTGTTTCGATATCACTTGAGCTTTCTCAAACTCAGCCAAATAACGTATCAAACATATGAACAAGAAATACAGTTTTTTTGTTTTGTTTTTAAAAACAATATATAGTCAACATACACACTATAATTATAATAATGATAAAAATGTTTTTATTTATATTAATAAAAAACAAAAATATTAAACAATAATTCAAAGAATTAGGAACTGTGTGGAGAATATAAAAGGAAAAATAAATAAAATATTTTCCGGATGTGGTGGTGGGAAATACATAAATAAAGCATCTGAACTGGCTATAAAGGTCATATTGTGTGCTGGTCTCATCATTTACTAAAAAGGGACATGCATCACTTGACCTTTTTCTATTTTTTTTTATACCAGGAAGCACACATTTTTATACAGATATACAAACATTTCTAAAATGTACTATAGACTTTGTTAGGGTTTACTTTCTCTGGCACGTCTGGCTCCCCCATCGCGGCTTCACGTTAACTAGTACTAGCCAAACTTGAGAAATTATCTGTACATTCATGACATTTGCAAAGAATGTAGAGATTCAAGGAAACAGTACTGAAAAATGAATTACCGTATTTACTCTAATCCAATGCGTCATCTAATGTGCATCACAATTTTTGAAACCTGGAAGCTGAAAAATGTTTTTGCTGGCGAATGTAATGCGCATTTATACAAGAAGACACGACTATACGACATTGCGCTACAATTAAAAGGTTTATTGCCAAATGCAATAGTACATTTTAGGGTTACATGTTAAGTCTATTCTTTTGTATGCTCTCTTTCAGGAACGAAATTTGCCTGTGTGAATTTGCAGGAATGAAATTTGACAGAAAATTTCGAATTTCGCCCTGAATTAAATGTGCATTCAAATTTTGGAATTTCCCCCCCCCCCACCCCCAAAAAAAGGTGCACATTAGATTTGAGTAAATACGGTATATAAACACCAAATATTGAGATAATTTTTAAGTTTGTGTTTGCACAATGTTATCAATTCTATCCAGGGAGGATTAGGACTGTAGCAAAGGTTAAAAAGGTGAAAGGTGGATTGCCAATAAAGTGAGTGCATGAGAACAAGTGCTTATGAGAAGAATTGGTAACGTTAATGAGAAGTTAAGCATTGATGCACGTCCCCATTTTTACCAGCGCTCAGCAAGAAGTAAGAAAATGGCAAGGTGGGTCTATGAACTCTACATTCAAGGTAGAGTAATTGCATTCAATGATAAGGATGGAGAGTAAACACCTGAGTGAACTACACCTCAAAATACCTCTTAGCAGGAGTTAAATAACTGGTTTTCTTGTTCTCAACCAGTGTACTGTGGCGAACAGATGTAACTCATGACATTTCAAAGTGTGCCACAAACTCACTGATTTAAGGGATGTAACCACAATCTTTAAAATGTATTTGTTTGTTTTATTTTTGGCTGTGCAATTACAGATACTATGGGTAACAGTAGCATTTGCATTGTGAAAACATTTTGTCAAAAAAAAAAAAAAAAATGATGGTCAAAGACACACAATAACTGGCATATTGTACGTTAAGTTACCAGTAGTTAAAGCACATACTGGACCATCACCATTTTATGAAATTATAGACTAGCTTATAACTTGTTAGGCGAGTGTATGTCAATAAAGTTGTTTTGGTGCCTATAGTATCCCTGTAACACTAAGTGCAAAATCAGTTCGGAGTGAATCGTAAAACCGAAGAACGGTCAAGAAGTCAGCACACAGAATTGTGTAGTTTATATATGAACCGGTTATGTAGTTAATATTCCCACATAGCACATAAGTTAAATAAAGTATTTATAATTCCTTCAGGGAGTTCTTGTATATATTTTTATACAATGATGAAAAGAAAGAAAGAAAAAAAGTTAGAAGCAGAATAGAATGTTGCAGAGGCACTATTAAAAGGGACACTATATGTACAAAAACAACTTTAGCTTAATGGAGTATTTTTTGGTGTATAAGCCATGCCTCTGCCATTTATTTATTTTATTTTTTTATTGTTGCAGTGCATATAGATGATACAAGCAGGCGTGAGGTGCCCCAAAAGCAGTCCTCATGCAATCTCCTCGCTAAACATGTGGGACATAAGCATTAATAGGCACATTTATATTATAGTCAGGCTTAAATAGTCAGCTATTTCAAGAGTAAGTGTTACCGCCATTAGGCTCTATCACTGCCCAACTTAGTCTTTTGACGACATAAGTAATGTATGCATGCATGTAAAAAGGCTTTGCTAGTTAGGTCGGTAATGCGTCAACAGTGATATGTCTGTAAGGTTGCAACAATAGTTATGGTGATTACATAATGCAAACAAACTGGGTCGGTTCTGACAAATGTGAAGGCTTGGCCTGCAGTTGTGGGAGGGGCATGGTAACCTACTTAAACCCCCTCCTCACCTTCCTCAGTCCTGTTTCGTTTTGACGACTCGCATGTCGGGTCGTCATTCCTCTCCTGTTCCTCGTGGCTTCGCTGTTCCCTTGCTGCTCGTTGGTCTGCAGTCCTCCTGGGCTCTGCCTCTGGTGCTGCCAGCCTCGGGTCTCCGGTTTTGCGGGGGTTTTTTTTTTGGTCTCTTGGGGGGTGGGGAGGCGCTCTGCTGCGGTGCCTCCGCTGGCGGCTCTGCTTGCCGCGCCTCTCTTCCGGGTGTACTTGACAGTCGGCGGCGCGGTCGCGGGTCTGCACTCGCCGACGGTCGTGCGTCCATGCGGCCGCACAGACATGTTGTCGGGTGCAGTTCTGGGAAAGGTGGGATGCTTGGGCATGACCGGTATATGTTTTGTGGAGTCCTTTAACAAATCTGGTTAGGTAAGCGACATTCAGAAGTAGTTAACCCGTTCTCTGCTGCGAGGACCGCACAGAGACTAACATTCACTGGGGTAATACCTCATCAATATAACTGCATGTGTTTGAGATATATAGAGACAGATCGACACAAATATATAGACAGACATATACAACTATATGCGTTTTTTCGGAATCTTAAAAAAATAAATAAAAAAAAATACATGTTGAGTTTCACACAGTGGTAGGTTCAAAATGAGCATCTGAGCTATATATGTTTTTGCAGTTTACATATTTGTATCGTTAGTGAATATTAAGCTAAAGAACCTTGGATGATTGTAAACACCATGTATACAGGGCAGCTTTTAGCTTGTTGAGGTTACACGAAAAAAAGAAAAAAAAGTTTTGGGCTGGCCCTGCCGGGCAAGTGTCTCTGGACACTGCTATTATGGAGGAGATGGGGTCTTGGTACCGGATTTTTCATGTGCTGTTTTGTCTCACACGTGACTGCTCAGCTCCCCCTTTTTTCCTCACTTGGGGCTTGAGGTTGCTGGGTGCAAGTGTGAGATGGAACATGTGTGATTGATTGCCTGCTTCATCTATGCTATTCCCAGCTCACTGTTTGCCTTGGGGAAAGCAGACATGCTTGCAATTTATGCAGGTATCTGTTGCTGCTACTTCTAATTGCATGTATGTTGTTTTTTATGTGCATCTGGTGTGTCTTCACTGTCTGACTAACAGGCGGGCGAGTCTCTTTCGGTTTTCACAAGGACCAGGGAGCAGGGTTTTATATGGGGGGGAGGGGTCTGTGCGTTTGTCCCTGTCACCAAACCTAGTTTTAATTGTTTCGCCTTTTGGCATTAGCTAGTATGCCAGCTCGCACAATTACACTTTCACGCTCACGCTCACGATGGGTCGCTTATGCGGGGTCTTTTTCGTCTTTTCTAGCAGGTCTGGTTCTCATCACCCTGTGTTTTGGGTATGCCTACCTTTTTTTCCAGGTCCTGGGCGCTTCCTCGATTCGCTGCGGTTCTCGCGAGTCAGCTTATTCCCCCATGGCAGCCTTCCAGTCAGCTGTTCCCTCAGTGTCTGTCCACCTACACGGGTATCGCCGCTGTCGGCAATGGGGCGGTGTCGGGCGGCAGTCTGGGTAACTGGCATCTGCCGCTTTGGCTGGACCCGAACCGGTCTTCCAGCACCTCTTTCGTATGATCAGTCCTGTGCCTCCTTTACGCTTTCTAATGTTGCCCTGCCTATGGCCTCTCCCTCAGCCGCTTCCATTCCTGGCTTTTCTGGGCTTGTTCGTGGGCTGCCAGGTTTTTAAGCGCGTGGTTGCCTTCTTTCACGTCGGGCTCTCATTTTTCTAGCACTCGCAGTGCCTGTGTTTTCGGACCTTCTTCCCCTTCGAGGCTCCTGTCTCACTTTTCACGTGTACTGTCTCTGTTGATATGTTGTCCGCGATTGACTTGCTTCTTTTTGCCATCTCTTACTTGCATCAACTCTACCTATACGGTCTATAACTTCACATGTTGTACAGGTTTCTAGTCACACGCTTTTCCATGTCGTCATACCAGTTTATTACCATACTCAAGGGTTCAGGTTCTGGGAATTTTCAATCTCCAGATTTCCCATCTACATCCAAGTTTTATAATCACTATCAGACCTATTTAAACACTTGTCATCACGACCGGACATCATCTTTCAATGTAGGGCGATATCTGCTTGATCCAAGGATAAATCCGACTGCCATTCTGGGGTCAAGAAGGAATGTTTTCCCTAGCTTGTTGCAAATTGGAAAGCGCATCAAACTGGGTTTTTCGCCTTCTTTTGGATCAACAGTTTAATCACAGATGTGAGGTAGGCCGGATTTGGGGGACGCTAGTCTTTTCAGCTAGGTTACTAGGTAGTCTAGTTGTCAAGCGGCTATACAGTTTCTTGTGGACACACATATCTCCCACAGTCACCACGTCTTTTGCAGTATTGTCTCAGGAAATCTCATCTATTTATGCAGTCTATTGTTTAACTTCTCTACCCCACACCCAGTTTACGCTAGATGGCCAACATGTTTTCCTTACTTCCCCTTGCACAAGTTAGAGGGCTGTTGAAAGCGCCGGGCACCTCATTACTCACTCAGCTGTTACCATACAGATAGGCTATTTAAGGTTGTTGATTGCTTTTAAACAGGTTTCCTTTTTGCCCTCTTTTATTACAGGCCTACCACGACATCGGTTCCGGCACACCACAACCGACTTATTCCCCTCCTCTTTTTTTATTTCCTTTACGGCCTTATTTGCCCCTCACACAAATGTGAAGGCTTGGCCTGCAGTTGTGGGAGGGGCATGGTAACCTACTTAAACCCCCTCCTCACCTTCCTCAGTTCCGTTTTGACGATTCGCATGTCCCCACCCTCCACTCCCTTTATTTATACTTTTCATTACACCTCATGGGTGGGCCCTCTTTTATTACAGGCCTACCACGACGTCTGTTCCGGCACACCACAACCGAGTTATTCCCCTCCTCTTTTTTTATTTTTTTTTATTTCCTTTACGGCCTTATTTGCCCCTCACACAATTTAGCAGTTATAACGTTATACATTTCAAGCCGTTAATAGCTTTCCGGTATCTTGTCATGGTGTGGTGTGCCGTGTCCGGTCTCCCGATCAGGGTGTCAAGGGTGCGCTGCTTTTTTATCGAGTCATCCGATGCCTCGTTTGGGCTGTGCAGCGGCCGGCCATGGGTGCCCGTGCGATTTGATGCAGGGTGTAACAGCTCTTGGTTTCGGCGGCATTCTTTTTTTCACCTTTCTGTGCCGGTAGGATGGTAGTTTGGCTCGCCACCACCTTCCCGGGCTGCTTGTCGCTGCTGAGGCAGGTGTCGTTGGTGTCTTCTGCCGCAGCGTGAGCTCCACTCGGAGCCAGAAGTCCGTGAGGATTTGTTCCAGGCTGATCAGTGAGCCCTGCCGTGTTGCATGACAGACGTCCGGCCGCTTGTTTTCTGCCATCTTTGGCGGTCTCTCGGCCCTCCGCTCGATTTCCCCTTCGTTTCTGCCCTGTCTGGGAGGACTCCCAGTGGTGCACCAGGATCTCCCCCACCGGGGGGGGGAGGGGAGGAGGAGGTTGCGGGGAACCCGCTTGTAGCAGTCAGTCCCCAGGCCGCTCCAGGCTGGGAGCTCGGCCGCCGCTCCCGTCCAGTGCGCTCCAGGCCTCATGCCCTCACGGGTATTGCCTGCCGTCTGTCGTCCACCCACGGTCCGCATCTCCTGTTTTGTTAATAGCCTCATAGACCCTGTAGGAGCCTCCTGCGTGTGATTAGAGTTCAATTAACAGGGGAGAAGATAAAAACGTATAAAGTTAACACACTGTGCTGTTAGATCTGATTGAAAATAAAACCATGTTTCCATGCAGGCTGTCTCAATCAGATCCAGATGAGTCATGGCTAAAGTTGGAAAAAAGAAAAGAAAAAGTGATTGAGCAATAAGAGTGCAGTGGCATAACGTGCACACTAAAACAGCTTCATTAAGCTAAAGTTGTTTTAGTGCTTATAGTATCCCTTTAATATTTTTAAAATGGCACCGAAGAAACAAATGATAAAATAAAGATTATTATTGCCAACAGTTATACTCTGCCTCTTGCAAGAGGACTTTTAAAATGAAGGTAGATTTTGGCAAAGAGTAGAGGTATTGTACACACACTCTACTAGTTCTATCTACTACAGGCTCCTTTAAGTGTATGAAGATAAGTAGAAACCTTTCTCCTTTGAATGAGACAGATGCGAATGAGGCAGCAGTCAGATCGATCATAATGTGCTAATGACTACAATGAACTGAACTGATTTTTAGAAACATAGCAAAGTTCTAGATATCAGACGCAAGGAAGGATGGTTACGGTGAGATTAAATCTTCACACTGTGGTTGTGGTCATCCAACTCGCTGTATTAAGGTTTCCTTGGTTTGCAACAGCCGCAAACCTCAGTTAGATCTCGGCTTATACCTTGTGTCGAAAACATTTTAAATTTACTGACTGTAACACGTGCAAGACGGACTGATACGGTCTAGATACAGCGAGGTCAAACTTCTCTCTCAAAAAAGGAAGTATGGGGTTTATTATGATTAGTTTATTTGATAAGGAACAATTCATTGGGGAAAAAAAGTGTGGTAGTCGTAAAAAAAACCAAAAACACACAACAACAACACTAAATGGCCAGTACAAATAATACAATTCCTTAATTACACCCACTGATGCACACAGCATTTTATTATCAATATATGGGTTATACATTCGGAATGTTATAGTATATTATTCAGAATTCAAAAAAATAAAAAATAAAATTTCCAGTTAAGGTATGTGGCGAAACCAACCTCGCCTCTGGGCATTGGAGAAGCCTGTTTGCCCGCCTCCTGCCTGCTGACTATGGCCCCTGGGAGATTTGGCCCTTTAAATACAGTATTTGGGCATATTGTATTTTATTATGCTGCTGCTGGCCCTTTAAGAACCATCTGGGGACATACTGTGACTTTTGGGAACAATGCCCCTTTAAGACTGTGGCCCTTGGAAGATATTGCCTGTTAAAGACTATTTTAGCAGATTGGATTTTAAAAGACTTGCTGCCCCTTTAAATTGTATTGGAGCAGTTCTGCAGCTTTAAATTGGCACTTCGGATGCAGCCGAAGTAGCCGCCATTCGACAAACGAACACCCTTACCTTCTCCTACACTCAGTTTTCAGCTGCAGAGACTAAGTCCCGTTCGGCAGTTTGAACTCACTGCTATACTAAGCTAAATGCACGAACGGCCCAGTTCATGCATTCGAATGGCCCAAATCTATGGAACTGTTTTGGGCAGGAAAATGTGCTTGCGGTTGGTCATAAAGGACTCCCAGCTAAGTTTATCTACTGGATGGATTTGTCTGATTTTTGAGAGAGTGTTTATGTTTAAAGTGTGATTCTGAATATGTAATTTTTATGAAGATTGGACGTATATTTTTAAAGTTATAGCGCATGATAAAAACTATTTTTCCTGCTTTTGATAATTATGTGAACCCATTGTGTACCATAATTATATCACAGGCAGAGGGGAGGATTTTGTGTATAACTGCTGGGAGTGTTTTCTGTAATGTACATGTGTTATTGGTTGTTCTGTAAAACCCTATGGGCAGCACTAAGTTTGTGGATTGGGAATAAAAGAGGCTGTATGTGCCAGTACAGTCAGTACTGCTTGACCTCAAAACGAAGTGTCGTCTCGTTATTGGGGGAATTGGATTGTATGCTGATTGCCAGGAGTGTAAGCGTTTCCTGTTCAGCTGTTTACAGCATTCATATGCTTCTCCGGTTTGGTGGTTGTGGTGTCTGCTGCAGTACTTGGATTCCTCAGGAAGTGCTAGGAGCATCCTTCAATGGAGGTACCCAGTCGGGGTGCCAGCTGATCCGTTACAAGGTATATAATGGTTAAGGTTATAAGGTAGATAATGTTTGCAATTGGTGCTTCTTTGCAAAGAGGTAAAAAAGTCCTTTCACATGTTTTATATAAACCATGCTGATCCCTATTACTATGAAAGCTGAAACCTTTCAAAAAGAGCTGAAGAAAAAATAAATAAATCTCTCTCATTCAGAGAGTTTGGACAGAAAGAACATGGATATAAATAAAATAATAATAATAATAATAATAATAATAATAATACCATAGAAGAATACATTTCACAATTCAATTCTACTGATGCTAAAGAGAACAAGATTTTGTGTCAAATTGCACCCAAAACCGTTTATATATATAAAAAACAAAAAAAAAAAAAAACACATACCATATGGAACAGCTATCACAGACTCTTTGTACTACAGCAACTACACTGAGATTTAGTGGTTAATGCGCATAAAGTGCACCATCAATTCTTATTGGTTGGAATCTGCCTAACTTGTACTGCAATACGTTTCAACTTCTGAAATGTCTGTACTGCAATCTTCATGCATTTTAAAACAAAATTAAACATGTCACCACGGCAAGCCTTGACAATCAATTACAGCTATACTGCCATTACGGCTACTACAGAACCCCGAGTGCATACACAGCTACACCAATATTTATCTAAGAACGTGAAACTGCTCTAGGGTGCTTTCCCACAATCAGGACGCATTTAAAAAAGCAAGTTCTGCCTTAGAAGTGCTAAACGACAGGTAGTTGATCTCTCTCTGGAAGTGTGGATCTTGAAATGTCAGTGAAGGTCAAAGTGAATTACACTTTAATTATGCTTATCTTCAATCTTCTACGCTACATATGTGTAGGACCTGGAGTAATAAACGCCAGGACCTAATGGTTGGAGTCTCTCTGATTTTTAACCAAACAATTTGATAAACACCGGAGGATTCCCCTGAACTCAATGCAAACCTCTTAGATAGGCCAAATATAACATATTTGTATGGGCAAGTTGGATTTGGTCATGCTGAATTGCCGTTTCAGCACTTCCAAACTGGCAAAGGCCAATCCAAACATATTTGACCCATAATAAGGAAGGGGAATCTTCCAGACTCAGGGGTGGGCTCTGGTTGAGGAGTAATCCTCTGGGACTCTTTTGAGCTTTTCAGAAATATAGAATTATAAAAAAAAAAAAATTTAAAATTCCAACACCGTCAAACTATATACTGAATTTCAATGTCAGTCACACTGTGCAGCACTGCCCCAGGAAGCACCTCTAGTAACCATCTGAGGAGTGGCCAGTGGAGGTATCCCTCCCCTGTAATGTAAACACTGCCTTTTCTCTGAAAAGGCAGTGTTTACTGCAAATAAAACCTGAAGGGAATGATTCTACTCACCAGAACAAATACAATAAGCTGTATAGTGTCCCTTTAATGATTTCAGAAGCTTCAGAGTTTCTTAGTGGAGATACAAACTCAACAAGGACTCACTAAGGTAGTACAGATCAGCATTGCATAAGAGAAGAGAAATGGATTAGACCTGCTCTCAGTAAGTTCAATGAACAACAAAGGGATCTTACACTCAGTACATGGAATTCACGTCTAGTTGCCATGGAGACAGGTATTTGTAGAGCCCGGATTTATACAACGTCCAGTTTGGGAGTTATGGTTCTACATCAGCCTTAGGGTACTTTTTGATCCAAACATTCCCTCCTAATTCTCAATTTATGACCTACCAAACGTAAAAAGAGCGTTATTTACCTGAACGCTGTGAGCTCCACCTTGTCATGCTCATTTTTGGCCAATTCCGGGATCAGAGAGAGGTGGGAAATCTGGGTGGCTGCCCAACCAAACTGGAAGATGATAATGAACGGGATGAAGTATATTAAGCCCACCCACTGTGGAGTGCTCTCCTTACAGCCCAGGCAAGGGTTAAAGATGAAGGGAAATGACAAGATCACGCTCAATGTACCTAAAGACAGAAGACAGGAAACAAAAAAAACTAATTTAAAAAAAATAAAATAGCAGAATATGAATATCCAAAAGGCCAATATACTTTTCTCTCAGTACGTGAAACATTTGAAGTCACAACACATTCATGTATTTACAATGCAGAATTATTTTTCATTCAATTTCAACAATTGTTACAGGAAAATTGTGTTTTTTTTTGTAAAAGGTTTACATTAGCAGGCCTCACTGAAACGCACACACACAGGGATGGTTAATGGACCCTGTCTAACTCCTGAGACCTACATGGCAGTCTAGAGTCGCCTTTTGGCTAATCCTGCTCTGGTGCAATTAGCAGTAGCATGGGTAGAACACAGGGTTATATGACATGTCAGGCGTGTGTCAGGTATTAATAGGCCATGCGTTGCAGACTTGCAAAATAATTTGTAAGCAAAAAAGAGGAAGCTTATGTCAATCTTATAAATTGAGGAAAAGCTTGTCTGTTAGACACAGATAAGCCACTTGCTTAACTCCAGAACAAGAAAGATGCAATAGGATGTTGCTCCATGGCGACCTGCACAGATAGCACATTTTTAAACACAGTGTTCAGTAGCTTAACATGTAAAGTATCACATTCTGAAAACAGACCAGCAATCGGCTTCACGGGGCATAGTGCTTGCTACATAAAATGGATGACGAGATAAAAAAGGGACAGTTATAAGATTCTATAAGAGAGCGAGCGAGAGAGAATGAATTATAAGTTATGTTAACAGTCACATGAGGATAGAAAATTTAAAACACCTCTGGATTTCATGTTTGTATTAAAACGGATGCTATTTATTATTTCTATTCCCAATAAGGATAGCCGGCAGCAATGTCACAGGCTTATGGTACACACTACCGCGTTCTAACTAGTTTATCTACCAAGTGAGCACTTGAAGAAACTGCAGCCAAATATATTCCATCCTGCTCCCTCCAAATGTGAGGAAACGTGAAAGCAAATAAACTGTTTCAACGCGGTTATTACTCTACATCACCAGAATCCTGGGGACCCATTTACTACATATTGGGGGGGGGGGGAAACTTTATCTCAGTCTGTCTCGAACTGAGGACAATCATAGAAATAAATAAAAAGAAATTAATGTTGGGGTCCTGTTCAATTTTCGATAAAGAAAAAAAACTAATTGCACCATTACTACAGCATGATGAAGTGGTTATGGTGCCAGAAGTGCCCTTGCGTCACCCCCATGGTAATATTTAGAATAGTTTTATCTCTTACCGGTTGTCTGCCAGGCACCGATCCCCAACTCCAATAACTTAGCCAGAGAACAGAAGGCACTCTGTGAGCCAAGTCTGACAGTGTGCGGCTTAGCTCACCGAGAATGATCATCTGACACTTTCAGCCAATGATCTAGCCTGCATTGCAGTATTTGGCGCGGTAGAGCGAACAGAAGCTCCCAAGTAGGAACTTTTGGTTCTCTGGTTGAGGGATAGAAGACTGGATGTGGTTCCCGACAGACTCCAGGTAAGGAGTCAAATCGATTTAAAGTTTGACTACTTAACAATGGAGGGACCTCAGGGCACCATAAGTACAGACAAGTAAAGACATTGTCCCCCCAATATGCATTTGCAATGGTAGCGTGTCTATGTGTGTGTGCGCTGGGGATGAAGTGTGTGTGCACTGCAGCAAATACACTTACATACTTACTCGGCTGGCTCTGTGTGAGCGGGGAGGAAGTAGCACGTCCGCCTAGCTCTCCTTGTGGATAAAAAGGCTACACTACTAGACATGCCTAAAAGTTACCCACCACTGCAAGCCTGGAGGGACCATGGCACACTCACCAGGGGTGAAATTTCTATTTTTGAGCCCAGAACAGGTTTACTTAACAACATTGAACATGACAGACAAAAGTGTGTTACTGTAACAATCATAAAGCAATTTGTTGTAATTTTGAAGTGGTCATGGTGACTGGAGTCTGTATACACAGCATTTCGCTATGAAACAGTGTACATACAGAGATTAACCCTTCTGCTGCCGATGGTGCAACTCCACTTCTGGCAGCAAAAAAAAGGGGTGTTATTAATCAGCCAAGAACGGTCACTACAAATTGGCGTTCGATCCAGCACATACAGCATGCTGGCCCCATAAAGCCAATTGTGACGTGCTCCCTCTTCCCCCGTGAATCCCTCAGTCTTCCCTTCCCACTCCCTCGGAGCTTTGGGGAAAAAAAATCTCTATCCATCTGTTTAGGAGAAATGCCCTCTATACCACCTAACTAGTTAGAAGGGCACTATAGCCTAAGAAATACAGTTTTTTTATTCACAACGCTATAATGCTCCTTTAATTTACAAAAGATGCCAATTTAAAAAAAAAAAAAAAGGACGGAAGGAGGACATACATCTCACACATAAAGCACTTCAGCAAGCAAAAGCGCTTCAGGTATTTGGATTATTCCTTTAAGCCTTATTTTTTTACATTTCAGGGATGCGGTCCACCACTGAAAGCATTACTCCAACCAAAATCAGTGTGTTATGAAAACACCATATTTTGGTTGGAGTAACCCTTTAACTGTTTCAGAACTTATGCAAGTGTAACTAAATACTGTTTTAGAAGCCTAACGAAAGTGCAACCAGGCATTAAACAAAGTACGCAAAAAAAATAAAAAAAAAATTTTACACTTGGAGACATTTAATCATTATGTTTTAACTGTACAGTTAATACATAAAGAAAACTCAAGTTTTATCTTTCTGGTAGTCAGGTTTTTCACAATTTTTTTTTAGCAGTTTCATTTATTTGGTTGCCCATAACAGGCTAGAGACAGAAATTTAACCCAACGTTCATAACCATAGACAACTGGAAGAGTCAAATAATAATACTATGTCTACAGAAAATATGGCATATAATAAAGCACATATTTAAAACATACATTGTCTATTCCCCAAAGAAAAATAACTCATAACCACCAATGCAAAATAAAAAGTTATTATAAAAAGGAGTGGTTTAAATAATGTAGGGGGGGCGGGGCCGAACCGCTGAGCTGGATGGTCGCATGCATACTCAGCTCCTGCAAGTTTCCAAACCTAAAGCCTTAAAACCAAGATTATTTCGCTTCAAACGCGACCTCCAGCAACAATCCTCAATGCACAGGAGTATCCGAAACCAGGGTGAGGCTGGCTCCTCGAGCTACAGTCCCCTGGAGGAGAGGTCATCGGTATCCCAACTGGGGCCTACTCCGGCAGTGAGTGGGGTGGACGGCCGCTGCTCCACTATCCTGCCAACCGGAACCCTACCAGAGGCCCGAACCCAAGCGGACCGGACCCTGTTCCCCCCCCTCTGGACCGGTGGGGGTGATCCCGGTCCACACCCTGGGGCTCAGACCGCGGAGACAAAACCCGAGCCTATCGACATTACCAACCTGCGATGTGGCCCAAGCGCATCAATCAAAATGGCGGATGCCAGGAGAACCAAAGCCAGAGGGAAAGAAAGCCCTCACTTCGAAGCTGCAGCAAGCAAGGTGGCATTCAGGCACAAGATAGCCCGATGCCCGCCACCACAAACAACAAGCACTCACTGCGACATCAAGACAAGATGCCTACCCCTCCAGACGCAACGCAAGACCGCGGCTCCAAAACCGTGGCAGGCCCGAAGCGGAAGGAAGGGTCGGAGGCACAGCAGGCCAGAGTGCACATTACAACACAGGCTACAGACACCCAAAAAACGATTTACCCTCAAGATGCAGTGGGGAGCAGATCCCGCAAGCGAGATACAGCACTGTCCACATGGGATCCCTATTGCCGACAAAGCACACAGCGACATCCTCTCCAAAATAGAGGGACATTTCTCTGACTTCTGGCAGAAATTAACACGCCTTTTGCTCCAGCCCTCTCTACCACACAAAGAAGCCTACTTACCCAAAAGCTCTCCACCTAAGCACCTAAGAAGATCAGTGCCGAGCCTCAAAATGGCGCCGAAGACATCACCCAAGTGCACTCAAGCAGGACCACAACCACGACCTAAAAAGCTGAACAGTGCGACACACAAGTCACGAACCCCAACCTACCGGAGCATAGGCGATGTCAGGCAGTGGGCCCCTGCACTCAGAGACTGTGTCGTGTCCCCTGCTGGCATAGGCTGAGTCTGTCCCTGAGACTGATCCGCGAGGGGTAAATTCCAAGTAGCACGCCACAGCAGACCAGCTACAAGACTGTAATGTTATGTGCAAATATTCTATAGCATGTGTGGTTAATACTCATGATACGTATTTAATAGTCTCTATGCCCACTGGCCCCCATGGCGTTATTTTACTTATCATTTCGTTTGCATTGTTATTAAGCGTTATCTTAATTATCATTTTGTGAAACGTTAATCCAGAGGCAGACTCTAAGGCATCCCCACTAGCGCAAAATCACAGCAACTGCTTAACTAAATATCCTCAGAGCAGTTAGCTCGACCCCAGGAGTCTACAAAACTACTCCTATCTCCTCAGAATGCCACTAGACAACTAATATTTTAAGTTTAACAAATGACATATCACCGAACAGCAACTAAATAAGCAACCACAGTAGTGACTTAACTAGCATGTACCTTAACGTATGGTTCATACCTAAGCAGTCATACTCCTGTTATACCCATCTATCTGGTCTATGAATGTTTGTCGTGGCATTATATATAATAGACAATACATTGAGAATAAGCTTACTAAACTGTATATTTAACATAAAATTGTGCACGCAAGAACATACCCATTACTGTTATAAATTTATGAAAAGCATGAGGAATGCCGTTGGGGTACCCCATGCACGCTGTTATATCATATGCACTATAAAAATAAAGAATTTAAAAAATAATAATAAATAAATAATGTAAAGGAGGGGGGGGAAATAAATAAAAGCAATCTCATTTCTAACATGCTAAGAACGAAGGGCCAAATAAAAAGTGGCCAGCAGCTACATTCTCTGTTTGGGGGTGCACAAATAGCCCACCGAACAAAAAAATAAATAAATAATAATTTTAAAAAAAAAGAATTCGGCATGGAACTTTCACAAAATAGAATTGTGAGAAAGATGTTTGTGCTAGCAAAATGATATAGCTGAAAAAATTATTTTATGATTTATATTTCTGATTTTCTACCTCCATCGGCATAGCAGTAAAGATTAATGTGATACTATAGCGTCAGTAAAAACCTTTACTGTATTTACCCAATTCCAGCGCCAATGTACCTCAGCGCTGGGTTGGCACTCCGTCCCCCAAGGGGGGAGCTAATGTGTGGCGAACGCATTAGGCCCTCCCTATAGAAAAGCATGCTGCAATGCTTTCCTATGGTGAATTGACAGACCTGAATGTCCTCATGCAGAGCGTGAGGACATCCAGCACCAGTTAAGTGACCAAAAGTCACCTAACCACCCAGAAGTGCTTCTAGTGGCTGTCTAATTGACAGCCTCTAGAGGCAGTCTTAACCCTGCGAGGTAACTAGTGCAGTTTCTCAAAAACTGCAATAATTACCATTACAGGGTTAAGGGGAAAGGGACACTGCGCCCAGACCACTTCAATGAACTGAAGTGTTCTAGGTGCCTATAATGTCCCTTAACCCTTTCTCCTCGACTGTCCCAGAGGGTGGGACATTTTAATTTTCTCATTCCGATCGTATTTCCCACCTGGTGGGACATATGAGTAGCAAACAAGTCTGACGATCATACGGCTCACCCAGAGGGACATAACGTTATCGGATAAAGGCGTCTTGAAAAAAAAAAAATTAAAAAAATTAAAATGCACCCACAAAGTGATTTCTATAAATACATTTGGCAAATTTGGTGAACGAAACTGAAATTTTATCCGAGTGGAAAGGGTTAAGGGTTAGGGATCACAGATATACCTGGGTATCAAACTGCACCCCATAACCTAAACCCTAGGGATTGTGGTTCATAGAATTCCTTTGGTCATCTTGGATGGGAAAGAGGCGAAATTCTGGTCATGTGTGAATGCAATTTTAACCTACATTATTATTTATAAAACACCAACAAATTCTGCAGGGCTGTACAATAGGTGGAATAACAAACAAGTAATTGCAACAAGATAAATTGCACAGACAGTAACAGGAGGTGGTGAGGACACTGATCAAAGGAGCATACAGTCTAAGGGGAGTAGAGTAAAATGACACAAGACTATCTAAAAGTGAACATGCCAGTCACAAATCTTGTCTGACAAAAGCAAACGTTAACTTGAGTGTGTCAGTGATGTAAAAACAGGATGTGTTTTTGCAGATTAAGGCTTTTTTTACACGGACTCGTGTCTCACAAATGATTAGATTACTGACTCGTGTTAAACTTTGGTCATTTAGGCAACTTTTGGTTGCTAAGAAAAAAATAAAAATAAAATTTGCATTACCGTCTTGGTGAGCGTACGGAATCCCACAAAGACCTTATATTTTTAATATTAAAAATACATGGCATCTCTTGGCATCTGTGCGCGGGATCCTGGTTTTAGATTTAATAGTAAAGCGAGACCCTCTGCTCATAAACAGGCAAAAATACAATATTGTCTGCAAGCAATTAATGAGGGCTTCTAATGAAATTTGCCTGGGTAACACCAATTCGAAGGAGATCGAATATGATGTTCCCAAAAAAAAAAAAATTCATTATATATATTTTTTAAATTATACATTACATTTAACCACCACATTAAGAGCAATGCATGTTTTGAATCAGTATGAAAACCAAGAGTTAAAAAATAAATAAATAAAATCGTAATTTAAAAAAAATAAAAAAAAATTATATGGGTCTCATTAAAAGTAAGTTCTTTAAATATTAAATTGTAAAGTTTTAACAATCAGGGGTTTCCATATTGTCTGTTCTGATAGGTCAAAAAACTGCATGACTAATTTTCTGAATGAAAAACCTGTTGCTGCTATAGTAAGTTTCAGAGGAACACTATAGTCTCCAAAAAGCCACTACAGCTTAATATGTGGTTCTGGTGTCTCTAGAATGTCCCTGAAGGCTTTTTAATGTAGATGCTGCATTTTAAGAGGTGCTTCCTATTTCAGTGCTGCATAGTGTGCAGCGCCTAGGTTCAGCACCTCCATGTAGAGCGTGGAGACGCTGAACGTTCCCCATAGAGATATATTGAATTAATGCATCTCTATGAGTAGATGCTGAGTGGCGCAGCATGGAGATCTGTTGTGCATGCGCAATAGCCTCACAATGCTTTCCTATGGGAAAGCCTTGGATTGGCTGAGACCGTCAAAAATTATACAGGTACTTCAGCAATATAGTAAGATATGGTCAGGGGCTAATTTTATAGTATTTTTAAATATTCGGCAGACTAGATGGGCCGAATGGTTCTTATCTGCGGTCACATTGTATGTTTCTAGTTTTAGGAATACAAAGTTTCTATTCCTAACACTATAGCGTTCTTTAAAAAAAAATATAAAAAATAAAAAAAAAATTATATCTATCTCAAAAGCAAGAATGAGCTGCATTCTGAGGCTTTGCCAAATGTGTATTTACTGGTGAAAAAATAAATAAAATTAAAAATATAAACAAAAGTATAGTTTATATACACATACACTTGTCAAATTTTCTTTCTTTTTGCACCAGTAAATATACACACACACACACACACACGTGAAAATAAAATCAACATTTCAACCTACGCAGGTCTGACTTTTTCATGATCTTAAAAAAGACCCAAATAGGTTATTCTCAAACGAACAGGTCAAAATGTTGATCCACTTAACACATAATGTTTATTCGCATCAATAAAATACACATTTGATGAGTTTTTTGTGGATATATGTATACACACACACACACACAAATCTGTTACGACAAGCAAATTATTGCTCACATGATTATATTTTACCTGACATGTCTCAACTCTGAACACTACCTACCGATCAGATGCCAAGATTTCCGCCGTCCATATGGCAGACAACCAACACGCCGATCTGACTCGTACCCGACCAGAGGCGTACAGATTCCATCAGCGATCTGACCGACCAGCAGCAGGACTCCCGAGTTGAAAGACGTGAACCCCAGCACAGAGTGGAAATAAACTAAGAAGTAGGTGAACCACATAGAGGCGCACAAGTCATTGAGGAAATGCCCGGTGGCATAGCTGATACGCCGGGAAAAAGGCAGCGACGCTGCGTCCGCCATGGCGAACAGTTGGCGCAGTTTTGGCCGCTGACCCTCTACTCCTTTTATCCCGCTTCCAGTGCCAGGAGGTCACGGTCTGTATAGCATTCCTCTGCTACCTTGAATGAGTGAGTAAGCCGGATACTGGAGCCACATCTGCTTGTGTCATTGGTGTAACTAGAAAATAAAAATTAATTTAAAAAAATAAAAAATTAAATTAAGATGTCCAGCTTTACAGTGTACCTTGTACTGTGCCCCTAACCAAACACAGGACAAGGTAACCTGCAAATTATCTGATCCTGTAATAGACACATTAAGTTACATATGTCTCAAATTACCATTCTCAATATAGGTTTGATCCTTACAGACCCATGCTGCCTCCCCCACCCCCCAACACAGAGCTGGAGCACCTTCACTCACCCGACCAAGCCGGTCTTTTGCAACCTCTCGGCCACATCAACCTAAACATTCACGACCAAACAGAAAACAGTAGCTGGCAGACAATCCGATTCGCCAGTCGTCGGTCAGAGGCGTGGCTGAACGAGCCGCGTCACCAAGAGCCCGCCCGCTCCTTTTACACCAACCTCGTGACTTGTGTTGCTTAACCCCATCGCTGCCACGCCTGCTCTGAGGAAGCTGTGGCTGAAGTTGGGCTTTGCTAAATTTTGCTGTCTGTAGGGAATATGGGATTATTACCCCCCTGTTCTTCGTAGGCTTATAAAAAAAACTGACATTTATCCAGGGTTATTCCTTAAAATTTGAATTGTTTTAAAAATTAAAGTGAATTTCAAATTTAAGACCAAAGTAGCCAAACTGGGAGATTTTTTTTTTTTATTCTTTTTTTTTGTAGTTTGACTACTTTAGCCTGAAATTAAATTTCGCGTTTAACGTTTTATTATTGATTTCACATTTAACGTTTTAAATAACGTTGCATAAGAAACCGTTCACGTGTCAATGAATAAGCTGGTGATGTGTTTTTTAGGTTTAAAAAAAAAAGAAAATGGACCGGTGTTTTCATTAATTGTTAATTTAGAGTGAATCATTCAGTTTACTTCAGAGACGATATAATTACGAGTCAACATGAATCATTGACTTTACATAAACTTTTAATACTTTCATAATTCTAATACTACATTTTGAAAAGTACAGCCAAATTTTTTTTTTTTTTTTTTTTTAATGGGAGGGAAAGCATATATATCTGCTTGGCTTCTGTTTTGTATAAGCAGTTATTAGCTATTCCTCAATCTCCAGTCGTTCAGGGAATATCGCCAAACAGGAAACCACATGGGAAGTCCCCATTCAGAAGTGATGAGCAATGCTCATTGTTCTACTTTATACTCACCTTGTCATCTTTCCTTGTAACAGAGCCATAGTACATTTAGGTCATCTTGTGTAAAGGTCATGTTTTAATTTTTGTCTAAACTAATCTCTGGTCAGTTTCAACACGTGTTGCTGTGAGCTCCAACTACAGTATTAAAGTCTAACTATGTGCCAACGCAAATTCATAGAAAAATATTCAGTAGGATACGTAAAAGTTCAGACAATAAATTACAGTCTTTCTTACTGTCTTTCTTAAAGGAACACTATAGTGCAGGAATCGCAGTTTATGCGCTGGCCCCCCTCTCTGTGGAGATTAAAGGTAATTTTACTCACCTTTTTCCCACACCGCGCCACTCTCGCCGCAGGTGTCTCTGTCTCCATGGCTGAGATTATCAGTCATAATGATTTCAGCCAATCCAATGCTTTCCCCTGGAGAGCATTGGGAGGCTATTGCGCAGGTCTCTTTGCCCTGGAGACAATTATTAAACCACTTTCCAAGGTAAGTGTAAGGTGCGGCGTATGGTCTAAGCACTGACAGGCTGACCCCCTACCCCTTCAACCTCCGCAGCAATGCTGGCAGCACTCATACATCTATTTCCCAAAGACAACCTGTGGATATGATGCTGAGCACATGCACTCAACTTCTTTGGTCGACCATGGCGAGACCTGTTTTGAGTGGAACCTGTCCTGTGAAACCGATGTATGGTCTTGCCTGCCATGCTGCAGCTCAGTTTCAGGGTCTTGGCAATCTTCTTATAGCCTAGGCCATCATTATGTAGAGCAACAATTCTTTCTTTCAGATCCTCAGAGAGTTCTTTGCCATTAGGTGCCATGTTTAACTTCCAGTAACCATTGTGAGAGCGATAACACCAAATTTAACACACCTGCTCCCCTTTCACACCTGAGACCGTGTAACACTAACGAGTCACATGACACCTTGGAGGGAAAATGGCCAATTGGGCCCAGTTTGGACATTTTCACTTAGGGGTGTGCTCACTTTTGTTCAAACGGTTTAGACATTAATGGCTGTGTGTTGAGTTATTTTGAGGGGACAGCAAATTTACACTGTTATACAGGCTGGACACTTTACATTGTAGCAGAGTGCCATTTCTTCAGTGTTGTCACATGAAAAGATATAATAAAATATTTACAAAAATGTGAGGGGTGTACTCACTTTTGTGAGATACTGTAACTTGGGTCTCTAAGCACCTCTTTCACCAGACCAGGCTGCCGTGAATATAGCCATGAAGACCCTCTCTCCTGTAGAGCAGTGATTATAGCTTTACAATAGCTTGTCCCCACACATTAGACAAGTCTGAATGGAAGTTTGGTGAGCCAAATCAACAGCTCATTTATTAGTTTATTGTCATACGTGTTTGTTATAACCTTAAAGGATCACTATAGTGTCAGGAAAACAAACCCGTTTTCCTGACACTATAGTGCCCTAAGGGAGCCCCCACCTTCAGGGTCCCCCTCCCTTGGCGCTGAAGGGGTTAAAACCCCTTCAGCAGCTTACCTTTATCCAGCGCCGGGCTCCCCAGGCGCTGGTGATCTCTCCTCCCCGCCGACGTCATCTCCTGAATGGAGCGGAATGCACATGCGCGGCAAGTGCCGCACACGCATTCAAACAGTCCATAGGAAAGCATTTCTCGATGCTTTCCTATAGACGTTCTGCATGCTGGATGCGAATTTCACATCCAGCGTCGCAGATGTGCCTCTAGGGGCTGTCAGGAAGACAGCCACTAGAGGTTGGATTAAAACTGCTATGTAAACATAGCAGTTTCTCAGAAACTGCTATGTTTACATCCGAAGGGTTAAAACCTGAGGGACCTGGCACCCAGACCACTTCATTGAGCTGAAGTCGTCTGGGTGACTATAGTGTTCCTTTAAACAAGAGAATCAGACTATCATTCCTCTATATATCCCCCGTTGGTTGTCTTGCAATCATTGTGATTAGTGATGTCCCGAACTGTTCGCTGAACGGTTCGCCACGGACTCCAGTCAGCTGACACATTCCAGCCAATCAGCAGCAGACCCTCCCACCTCCTGGACAGCATCCATTTTGAAGCTGCATTCTTAGTGAGCTGTCCAGGAGGTGGGAGGGTCTGGGAGGGAGGGTCTGCTGCTGATTGGCTGGAATGTGTCAGCTGACTGGAGTTCGCGCGAACTGTTCGTGGCGAACCATGGCGAACCGTTCGCGAACCGTTCAGCGAACAGTTCGGGACATCACTAATTGTGATCTAGGGATTAAAATCAAAGAGTCTTCCAAACATGTCTGTTACAAGTCTTCCAACTTCATCCAAAACTCCATTACAATAGGATGTTCCCACCACAAATGTAGATATGTGTCTACATGTGTCACCAAGAAAGGACAACAGAAATTTCAATGCAAAGAGTCTGGATGGACTTAAATCCCATTTAAAAAATCATATTGTTTATAGGCCTACAGAATGATACATTTACTATTGCCTCCCATAAATGCCCTTTCTGTCGATTGCCTCCTTGCCTCCCAGGTCTACTTCCTTGTCAATTAAAAAATGGGATAAGCTCCTTTGTATTGTGTTTTGTGATCAAATATTCTTGATCTCATAATCGCAGAAAATAGGTCTTGTGAAGTTTACAAGCTTGGATCATTTTAGGTTTTTGAGTTGAATCACAAACTTGCAGTTATTGATAAACACTTCCTGAGGTTATAGAAACCCTGGAAGATAAAACATGAACATAGTTAGACATTCTTTTCTCGAGGCTGGTAGTGTTCCTTTAATGATTAGTTCATGAGGTTAAGGTGCAGTTACTCAAATTTATTGAAGCAAAAACAGAGAATATAAGAACACTGAGACCGTATATCTTGAGGGTTCAGCTGTAATGTACAATCCTAGATATTAATGGGATCAGTGGGAGACTATCAGCGCTATTTACTAAAGTGAGAATTCCAAGTGATTTCAAAGTTAATCAAAGTGTTATAAATATATATATATAACTTTCCACTTGTCCCGCACGCACTGCTCCCGGTCTTGTTAATGCCTCGTTGCAAACTCCGACCATAAGTATATATAGGTTCTTGTTGAAGTGCACTCACAGGACTCAATAATATTTCTAATCGTGCTGTTTATTCAAGCATCACGTAATACAAAGAAGTGTCAACGTTTCAGTCCTTGCCGGACTATTTTCAAGACCCTTGAAAAAAGTCCGGCAAGGACTGAAACGTCGTCACCTCTTTGTATTACTTGATGCTTGAATAAACAGCATAATTAGAAATATTATTGAGTCCTGTGAGTGCACTTCCACAAGAACCTATATATATATATAAAAATAAAAAATACACTTTTATTTGTCCTATCAGGTACATTTTTGGAAGATTTAAAGTGTTACTCCAAGCCTTTGGGGAGAGGGCACTTTCCTGTGTATATGACCTTTAAAGATTTAATCTTGGTTACAGTGAACAAACCTGTTTTTATTACTGTGTTATTCCAAGAGACACATCTTGCATGTCGATGGTGTTTTATTGACTAGATGGGTACCTCTAGACCTATACAAAAGCTTAAATTCAGATTCAAATTAAGATATAGTAATTCTTTATTTGCCATTGTATGTTGTTTGCGTTATGATTTGAAAGCATTCACTTCGTCTTTTACTCTTAAACAATATATGATAGCCACATCAAGTCTCCTTAAAGGACCAGTCTAGGCACCCAGACCACTTCAGCTTAATGAAGTGGTCTGGGTGCCTGGTCCAGCTAGGGTTAACCCATTCTTTTATAAACATAGCAGTTTCAGAGAAACTGCTATGTTTATTAATGGGTTAAGCCTTCCCCCTGATTCCTCTAGTGGCTGTCTCATTGACAGCCACTAGAGGCGCTTGCGTGCTTCTCACTGTGATTTTCACAGTGAGAGCACGCCAGCGTCCATAGGAAAGCATTGTAAATGCTTTCCTATGTGACCGGCTGAATACACGCGCAGCTCTTGCCGCGCGTGCGCATTCAGCCAACGGGGAGGAGAAGAGGAGGATCGGAGGAGGAGAGCTCTCCTCCCAGCGCTGGAAAAACGTAAGTTTTAACCCCTTTCGCCCTTCCAGAACGGGCGGGAGGGGGACCCTGAGGGTGGGGGCACCCTCAGGGCACTATAGTGTCAGGGCACTATAGTGCCAGGAAAACGAGTCACCCTCCTGTTCCCGCCAGCTTACCTTATGTGCCAGG